GTTTGCCGCCTCTTTCTTCCTCACTTCATATAAGCCTCCTGGGGAACCCTACTCATTCTGGAGGGAGTCTTTCTCTGCGGAGACAGGGGTTGTGGGAAATAAGTTTTTGCACAAGCACGAACACATACATCTCCACAAGACTAAACTAGAAGGCACACATTTTCTGCTCCCTGAGTCCCTGTAGAAGTCATGGGTGCAGCCAGGATGGCTCTTCCTATAAAGTCAAAGAGTAGAGCTGAGTGGTCGGCTAGTCTCCAGCTATAACCAATTGCTAGTGTGCCTGAAACTTCATTAAGATTTATTCCTTTAGAAAGTTTATTCTAGTACCTGCTGTTAAAGAACCCAAAGTTTATGCTGAGAGATATATGAAGAGGTTTCTTTTCTTTTTTTTTTTTCCATTTCGTTTGTTTGGCTTTTTGGGTCACACCCGGCAATGCACAGGGGTTATTTCTGGCTCTGTAGTCAGGAATTACTCCTGGTGATGCTCAGGGGACCATATGGGATACTGGGGACCGAACCTGGGTTGGCTGCACCCAAGGCAAATGCCCTACCCTCTGTACTATTGCTTCAGCCCCTGAAGAGGTTTCTTTAAGGTCTAAAAAGTTTAGAGATAACAATGCATTTTAGCACACTTGGTGCATGTGCGTGGGTGGGGCAGGAGGCAGAATAATGTCTCCTTTCTGGGCCCAGAGAAATAGTAGAGCAGGTGGGGTGCTTGTCTTACATGCGACTGGCCCAGGTTCAATTCCAGGCATCTCACATGACCCCCTGAGCCTTGAGTGCAGGTGAGTCTGGAGTTAAGTCCTGAGCAGTGCCGGGTGTGGTTGAAAAAACAAAAAAACAAAAAAACAAAAAACACCTCTCAAACGTCCTGCTTCTCTCCAACCCATTTATCTCACCACTTTGCCTGTCTTAAACCCAATCAAAGTGCTCAACCATCCACCTAATTTAGAGAGTATTGAAAAGAGAAAGGCTCGAGCGGGCCCAGTAACGTCTCCATTGGAGACTTTGTTGTTACTGTGTCTGGCATATCAAATACTCTCGGTAGCTTGCCGGGCTCTCCGAGAGGGGCGGAGGAATCGAACTCGGGTCGGCCATGTTGGCCGCTTGTAAGGCGAACGCCCTACGTAGGGCATTCGCCTTACAAGCGGCCAACATGGCCGACCCGAGTTCGATTCCTCCGCCCCTCTCGGAGAGCCCGGCAAGCTACCGAGAGTATTTGATATGCCAGACACAGTAACAACAAAGTCTCCAATGGAGACGTTACTGGGCCCGCTCGAGCAAATCGAAAAGAGAAAGTTGGGGCTGGAGCAATAGCACAGTGGGTAAGGGGTTTGCCTTGCACAAGGCCGACCGAGGTGCATTTCCCAGCATTCCTGAGCACCGCCAGGGTAATTCCTGAGTGCAGAGCCAGGAGTAACCCCCGTGCATCGCCAGGTGTGAGACAAAAAGCAAAAAAAAAAAAAAAAAAATTCAATAAATAAATAAAAATAAATAAAAAGAGAGCTTTTCATCTTTCCCTGGTGTCCTATTAAGGAGACTCCATGTCCTAGCTTCCCTCCCCTCTCTTCCCTTTACTCAGGTAAAGTTTTTTTTGTTTTGTTTTGTTTTTTAAATTTTTATTAGTGAGACACCATGAGGTACAGTTGTAGACTTGCAAATTTTTGTGCTTGGGTTTCAATTATACAATGACCAAATACCCATCCCTCCACCAGTGCCCATTTCCCACCACCACAGAGGGGGATGGGGGGAAGGGGGAGGAGGATAGGGGGGAAGGATACTGGGATCAGGTAAAGTTTTTAGTGGTTTGCCATCTCCTCTTCATCTTGTTCCTTCTCTGCTTTCAATTTTGACTGCCTGAGGACAGAAACTTTGTTTGCTAAACACCCCCCTTCCCTTTTCTCTGTCGTCAGGTGAAACACACAATTAAAATGATCAATTAGAATCCTGAATTCAATAACCTCAGTTATGATTAAGGGAAAAGCAGTGAAATAGAGTGACTCCTGAGTCTGAACTTGAACCTGGGAAGCTAAAATTCTCCAATGTTATGAAAAAAAGGGAAGATGAGGCAAGGCAAGAGGCCCAGGCCTGATGATACCACATGAGTACTGTGCTGGGCATGATCTGATGCCTTTTACACATCAGAGACAATTCATTCCTTTTTCTTATGTCTTTATGTTAATTTCTGGGGGACACCCAGCAGTGCGCAGGCTTACTCCTGGCTCTCAGCTCAGGATCCTCCTGGTATAACTCAGAGGACTATACAGGATGGCAAAGATTGATTCACTCCAGGTCAGCTGATTGCAAGGCAAGAGCCCTACTGCTGCATTCTCTCTCCAGCCCTTCAATTCCCTTTTCTCTTTGTAAGCCAGTTTGAATTAGACTTCAACTCCATTGTAAGCAAGAGTCTGAACAGTTTGGAGGGGAAAAGACCTGAAGTAGTACGAGCAGAGAAAAAACTGGAGGTCAATGAACTCCTACACCAGTTCCCCTTTGGGAGTTCTCACTTCTCCCACCATCCCCTCTATCATGGAGTATTCCTGTGAACCTAGGTTTGTTCGAAAGATCCTGTTCCGAATGGGAGACTTACATCCGAGAATAGTAGAGATGAGTACCAGGAGGTCTGCTCTACAGCTTAGAAGCCGGTCTCACATGCTGGGTGAGAAGGCAGCTCAGATAGAGAAGGGACCACCAAGTATGGGGTGCTTGGAGGGCCCATAGGATGGGAGATGCATGTTGAAAGTAGACTATAGACCGAATGATGGCCACTCGATACCTCTGTTGCAAACCACAACACCCAAAAAGAGAGAGAGAGAGAGCAAAAGGGAATGCTCTGCACAGAAGCGGGGTAGGGTGGGGGGATGGGGTGAGGGCAGTGGAGGGATACTGGGATCATTGGTGGTAGAGAATGGGCACTGGTGAAAGGTTGGGTACTCGATCATTGCATGACCGAAACACAAGCACGAAAGTTTGTAAGTCTGTAACTGTACCTCACAGTGATTCATTAAAAAAAAAAAAGACCCGCCCTCTCCTCTCTGGAAAGAAAGGTGGCGGCCGCACGGGAGCCTTGTGGACAGCAGGTTTGAGCCAGGGGTGGGGGCGGCAGGGACCTCATGGGAAGGGGGGCGTTCCGGTCCGTCCTTCACGCCCTGCCGAGGTCACCAGTTGCCCCCCACGAGCGGCACTCCAGCACGGCCACGACTCCAGAGCACAGAAACCAATCTCTTAACTATCTAACTTTTAATAGAAATACTTCCAGGGTTAATAAGTAAAATAGCAGAAATCCAAAACCGCGACATCATTTAATTCTTAAAACCCAGCTGTAGAAAGCAAATCATTTCACAACACTTTTCCAGCATGTCTGATTTGGGGGGGGGGTTGTAAACTCTAAATAATAATGGTGCATCTTTTATCGAAACAATGAATCTAGTCAAAGTAGATAGAGTGTTAACTAGAACTCATCTGCCTCACAGGAATTGGGAGGGGTGGGAGGTGGGGTTCTATTGGGGTTCGCGGTTAAAAATAAGTATTGGTAAAGGGAAATGTGTTTGATATTTACATGACTGAGACCTAAACCCGAAAGCTCTGTAACTTTTCCCACAGTGATTCAATAAATAAATAAATTATTAAAAAAAAAAGACCCTGTTCCCTGGACCACACTACTGAGGGCCTTCAGTAGTGTCACCCTCAGGTAGCAGGAACTGGATCCAAAGAGTTCAGTTTCAGTGCAGCAGATCTCCAGAGGGGAAAAAGCCATGATACCAGGAATCTGGTATGGCATGGCTTATATTCTACCTGTAGATGCTAGAGAAAGGCAGGCAATATCATCATCATATAGTAAAGGAGGAAAACTGAAGGTTAGAGAGATAATGTAGCTTAATCTAAGACTGCACACTTGTGTGTGTGTGTGTGTGTGTGTGTGTGTAGCAAGATAGTTTTAATTGAAAAAATGTACTTCGACATGAGGAGAAAGAGGAACACGTGTTCAAGAAAGAATATGAGCTCTTCTAGAGTGGAAAAAAAAGGCAAACAAGCAAAGATATGTGTTTAAGGGAGAACATGAGTTTGGGAGTGCAAGTCGGTATAATTTCTCTCCTCTAGAGTGAAAAAAGGCAAACAAGCAAAGATATGTGTTTAAGGGAGAACATGAGTTTGGGAGTGCAAGTCGGTATAATTTCTCTCTTCTAGAGTGAAAAAAGGCAAACAAGCAAAGATATGTGTTTAAGGGAGAACATGAGTTTGGGAGTGCAAGTCGGTATAATTTCTTTTTTTTTTTAAAGTAGAAAAATTTACTGGATAGTAGAAGAGAAAGAAAAATGAACTCCCCATGTGGGGAGGAACTTAGTATAGTGTATTATATTCGGTATACTTTAAAAAAAAACTTTATTTTACTAAATTTTCTTTTTAGGGGTCATACCCAGTGATGCTGGAGGCGGAAGTACTGGGAATACAGGACTGGGACTGAACTCAGGGCACCGCATGTGGTAGGAAGAGCCAAATCACCAGCCTTTTTTGCCTAGCTTTTTACAGACCTGGACTCCAGCTTTCCAAATTCAAAGGTTAGGCCGCAAACCGCTGGATCAGGCCAAGTACAAGACATGGAGCTTGCCCGGGACAAGCAGAGGTTGATGATAACCTGGCCAGTCATCCCAGAAAATCAAATGTACGAGACCAAAGATATGGTGATATACTCAAAACATCAAAGAAATTCCGGGACGAAGGCACCGTCATTGGCCTCAGAGACTGGCTAAAGGACCAAAATGCAAAGCGCGCCTCGCCTGCTGCTTAGGTACCATCTCTACTGCGTAGCCACAGCATAGGGGTAGCCGGAGCCCCGACGACTACAACTCCCACACTGCACCGCTACCTAGCGGCGTCACTCCGGATAAACTACAAGCCCCAGAATGCCTCGGGCGAGAAGCGCGCGTACGGAGCGGCGAGGGGGTGGAGCCACGTCGTCCGCGCGGGACCGTTAAATTTGAAACTTGGCGGCTAGGGATGAGCCTTGAAGGTGCCTGGTGGGTGAGCCTGGCCAGGAGCACGCTTCTGTCCCGCTGCGTTCTCCGGCCGTTTCGGTTCCTCTGAGTGCTGGTTGCAGAAGGAAGGCCGGGGCTTGTCTGTGAACCCGAAGCAAGTCCCCCGGCAGGACCAGACCCCGCGCCGGGAATGCTGGATGGCGGCGCCTAGGAGAGAAGGTGCGCTCAGGTATGCACGCGAGAAAGAGCCGGCGGGAGCCGAGCAGGGGCGAGCGTGACCGTCCAGGCTGCGTCCCGGAGCAGGGCAGGGGCGGGAGAGCGTTCCCCAACGGAGGCTCCTTCCCGGTGGAGTGGGAGACGAGAGGGCTGGAGAGGCCGGGTCAGCGCTCACCTCTGGTGGGGATCACCCACGTGAGCGCCCTGCTGCAACCGGCTCAAATGCAAAGGAGGTTGGGGACCCCCGGGAAGACCAAGCGCTCGAAATTTGCAGTGAGGCCCGCCGCGTGCTCTTTCACCTTGGACGCGTCTTTATGGGAAATTGCTGATTGACTCAAAGGCGTTTGTAAATTGACCACCTCCAAGGAAGGGCGTGGTACTTGCAGGCTCTATCATGCCTGTGCATAATTAGGAATCTTAAAACAAAACAATGGCAACAAAAAAGCAGGTGCAAGTTTGCTGCTTTTCCCCCTGTAAATCCCTATTGTTTGAGGTTGAAATTGTTCCCATTTTGAGACTTACCGTCCTTAGGTAAATGCCCTTGTACGACTTTCAAATCCATGCCACAAATCTTTATCGATGAGTGCTCGGTGCAGTTAATAAGGTACAAAATCCTCCTACCCCTTGAGACGCTTAACAGGCTGGGAGGCAGGTGGCTCTAACCAACAAAGAACAGGATAAACTAAAATTCCTTAGGTGGTAATGAATCCATTAAATAGGTTAAGTAGTGGTAGTGTATAGCTGTTTGGAATTTCGCATAGTTTTGAACGGGGGTTTTTACTGCTGAGGTGTCCTTTGGGTCAAGACTTGTAGGAAACTCAGGCATCTACCTGGGGATGATTAGAGTTGTTTGAGGGTGGGATGTAGCTGCACCTGACAAAGTAGCTGAGTGAAGTTGCAAAGAAGTGATGTGAAAGGAGGAGGGTGGGCGTTGTTTTAAGGACTTGGCTTTGACTGTGATTGTGTTCCAGAGTCTCGGGTAGGTTTTGAGTAGATGAAAGACTCATTGATGTGGCCTGAGTTTTTAAGTGTGATCCCTTGGGCTTGGAGCGATGAAAAGATGGAAGACATGGAGAGCTGGAGCGATAGCACAGTGGGTAGGGCTGTTTGCCTTGCACACAGCGGACCCAGGTTCAATTCCCAGCATCCCATATGGGCCCCCGAGCACCTCCAGGAGTAATCCTGAGTGCATGAGCCAGGAGTAACCCCTGTGCATCGCTGGGTGTGACCCAAAAAGCAAAAAAAAAAAAAAAAAATTGAAGACAGAACAGAATGCAAACAGGAAGATCAGTTTAGGGGCTAGTGAAGGGATCCGGGGATACACTCCAAGGAGCCACAGTATAAAAAGAATGTCTGTGGTGAGGAAGAGCCGACAGGATTTGCTGACTGAGGGGAGGAGCTTGAGAGAGGGTGTCCAGAGTAGCCTAGGTATTTGGAGACAGGAAGGCTGGAGGTGGGAGGAAGCCAGCTGCAGATCAGTCTGGGGCATCCAGTTGAGATCATTGTTACTTCAAGAGCAAGAGGAGAACTTCAGAGGAACTCAGTACATCTTATTCAGTGTGTACTAATGAGAGTTAGATCCTCAGCTAGATCCTGGAGACCTAAATAACAGGGTCCTTAACATTTACAGATTTTTCTATGATGAACCTTAAAAAAATGTGAATAGTTACAACCTGAGTTGTTGCTCACTTAGAGTTTACACTCAGAGTTTCAGCTCTCCTCTTGATTGAGATTACATCTTAACTTCATTCTACTTTGGAGATTTGTGCCTATCTGGGTTTTAATCCCAGAGATAACGTCAGTGGAAAGTTGGCTGCTATCTGACTATTGGAAAACTCTGGAGTACAGCGTACAAAAAAGTACAAAATAAGAGCAATGCCTCAAAAAATAATTGTGAGATCACACATGCAGAATTTGGAGGGGGTGGGGCCATTATAGCCAGTAAACTGTTTTTGTTTATATGGTAGTCATATATATATACACATACAAACACATGTGAACACAGGGTTAACACATAATATGTATAATAAAGTGTATGCAATATAATATATACATAAAACAGGTTTGGGGCTGTTTTATTTTTTATCTTTGGGCTACATCCAGTGGTGCTCAGGACTTACTTGTGGCTGCTCTAAGGGATCTCTCCTGGCAGACTCAGGGAAGCATATGGGATGCTGGGAATCGAACCAGGTCCACCGTGGCCAAGGCAAGTGCCCTGTAATCTTCCTCTGGAGCCCAGTTTTCTAATTTTAAGTTCAACTGGATGTGTTCATTTGTAGCTGCGAAACTGTTGCCTTTCCCTCTGATTTCCCTCTGATCTCCCCTCACCTTTTCTTTATGATGATGTTTATCCCTACAGCGTTTTGTCCAATACCCTAACTGCATTCTTTTCCCCATTAGGCAGTACTGCAGATTCACACTTAACAAACAGGTCACAGAAATGTTTAGAAACTTAGGAACATAATACTAAAGCAACGGGCTGCCGTTTTCCACCCCACGATCGTGAATAATCACTTAACTGAAACTGTTGGCAGTCATGTGGTGACGTGATTATGCTGTAGTGGTGTGGGATTTACTTTTGTTTCTCTTTTCTCAGCAAAGCCATGTCACTGGAGGGAGATGAATGGGAGCTGAGCAAAGAAAATGTTCAACCCTTACGACAGGGGCGGATCATGTCCACGCTTCAGGGAGCTTTGGCGCAGCAAGAATTGGCCTGTAACACTACTCTGCAGCAGCAGAAACGGTTTGATTTCCCTCTTCCTTTCTCTCCGCTGGTGTGGCAGTGACTGTGTGTTGCGCGCGCACACACACACGCACACACACACACACAGGGTTCTTTTATGGTGCTTGCTGAGGACTTCTGAAAATCGGGTGCCTGGGCTGAAGCGATAGCACCGCGGGTAGGGCGTTTGCCTTGTACATGGCCAACCCGGGTTCGATTCCCAGCATCCCAGATGGTCCCCCGAGCACTGCTAGGAGTAATTCCTGAGTGCATGAGCCAGCTGTAGCTGGGCACATGCGGGTACCACCATCAGTGGAGTATAACAGCCTCATGATGGCACTTTTCTATGGTTGAGGCATCTCTGGGCCCCTCATTAAGTTGGGGGAAGGATTGAGGATGGGGTTGACCACATCCAGCCTATTGGTGGCACACTAAGGCCTCGTGTGGTGCCAGAGACCTAACCTGGGGCTCCCGCAAGCAGAGCATGTGCTGCAGTCCTCTGAGCATCTTTGTCTTTGTTTGTTTGGGGTGGGGGTGGGGGTCACATGTCCTGGTGCTAGGATTACTCCAGGCTCATTTGCTCAGGGGTGACTATGATCAGTGCCCTAAGCACTCCACTCCTAAGTGGAGGGGGTGGGGACCAGACAGTGTGGGGGATCAAATCCTGGGCTTTCATGCAAAAGCATGTGCTCCAGCCCTTGAGGTGTCTCTCTGGCTCCAAAGCATCAGGCTTTATGGTTTTATTGCAGAGATAGTAGTTTTTCTTCCTGGAATTTAGTGGCATTATACTAGATTCCCACTTGTCTGACTATTCCCTGTTTCTTATTGGCTTCCTACGGTATTTTGTGAACTCCATTCTTTAACCTTTTTTTCTCTATTCATATCAAAGTTTCCATGGCCATTTAGCTACTGTTTACTATTCTTAATGTCTTTTTAGCTTACCTGTTATATCTAGAGAAATGCTTCATGCAATACACTAAATGTGCATCTCTATTCATAAATAACCTTCCCTTTTTCTAGTCCATCTTGCTATCGTATCAAAATTTATCTGAATAATGCACTGCTCACACCTTCATTTACCTAGCCATGACTTGACTTTCCCATTGAGTTACATCCCTGCCTTAAATTTTTGTTTCCTTTGGCTCCTGATGGGGCTGGGGGGGGTGCGGGTGGGGGTGCATTTGTGGTTCCAGGGATTGAACCCTGGTAAGCCCCATGCTAGGTAGGGACTATTATACTATCTCCTCAGCCCCAAATCATAGCTTTTTCAGCATATTTTTGTGTCTTTTTATGTTGTGCCTATCAGTAATATCTGTTCATTCTCCGGTGGTATTCCATTTATTGCAAGTTTGTCCAAAAGATGAAAGAGACGTTACTGGGGCCTGCTCGAGGCAATCGACGACTAACAGGATGATGAAATGAAATGAAATGAAATTCCATTTATTCATCAGTCAATGGCCACTTAGGTTCTTTCTTTTGCTACATTCTTATACAAGTCTGCTTTTGTATGTGGTGCTGGGAATTGAACTTACAGCTTCACACATGCAGGGTAACTGCTCTACACGGAGCTACATCCCTGGCTCTTGTACAAGACTTTGTGTGGACATAGACTTTTATTTCTCTGTAGTGGGGATTATTATATCAGACAGTAAATGTATATTTAACTTTTTATGAAACTACCAGTTTCCCCAAGAGCGTGTAACATGTTATACTTGTAATGGCAGTGCCTGAGGGCATTTGATCCAAATGCACTCGAGCATTTAATGTTGTCAGTGTTTTTTTCAATTTCGCCGTTTTGGTGGGTACGTAATACTATCTTACTCTGGTTTTACTTCCCATTTTCCTGGTGACTGATGATGACTAGACTTTCACATGTGTTTATTGACCTTTTTGCACCACACCTTGTAACACGGTGTATTTGTTTGGATATCTTGTCTAGTTTTAAAATTAGACTGTAGGAGGTTTTTTGTTTATAAAAAAATCTATGTAATCCCTTTATCAACTGCATGTTTTGCAAATATTTGCTCCAAGTCAATTACTTGCTGTTTCCTTGGTGGTATTTTTCTTTGTGTTTGGTTTGGGAACCAAACCTGGTGGTGTTGAGGGGTAGTTGTCCCTGGCTTGGTGCTCTGGAGACTGAAGTACCAGGGATTGAAACTGGCGTTTCAGTGTGCAGAGTGTATGCTTGGCCCTATGAGCTATGCCCTAGCTTCTAACTGGGTTTTGTTATTGTTCTAACTGGGTTTTGTTATTGTTGATTTGGGGGGCAGGTCATACCTCGTGGTGCTCAAGGGTTACTTCTGGTTCTGACTACTCCTGGTAGTGTTCAGGAGACTATATGAGATGGCTCAGGGAACTGTATGGGATGTCAGGAATTGAATCAGAGTCAACTGCATACAAAGTGCCTTACCTGATGTATACTATCTCTCTGGTCACTAATTAGTATTTTTTAAAAATGGGCTGGAGCAATAGCACAGCGGGCAGGGCGTTCGCCTTACACGTGGCCAACATGGCCGACCCAGGTTCGATTCCTCCGCCCCTCCCCGGCAAGCTACCGAGAGTATTCGATATGCCAGACACAGTAACAACAAAGTCTCCAATGGAGACGTTACTGGGCCCGCTCGAGCAAATCGACGATCAACGGGAGGGCCTTTACCTTTACCTTTTTAAAAATGGTTAGTGTTTGTATTTTGCCTTCTAAGAAAGGTTTGGTTATTCCAAAGATACTTTTAGTGCTTTCTTGCCGTTGCTTTCATTTAGTTTTTGTGCTCATTTTAACTTTGTTTTTGTTTTAAGGCCAAACCCAGCAGTGCTTAGCCCTGGCTCTGCACTCAGGGATCACTCCTGGTGGGCTCAGGGGGCCAATATGGGGTGTCAGAGATGGGACCCAAGTCAGCTGCAGGCAAGATGAGCACACTTTCGCTCCAGGTCCTGCGCATCTTAAATGTTATTTATTGCCTTCCCACTACTCTTACATTGGGACGATGTGGGCAGCACCAGGGACCTTGCAGGCTCATGCTTGTAAGGCAGGACGTTTTGCTGCTGAGCAAACATTTGTTTGTTTTCTGGGAGAAAGAATCCCAAAGAAGAGGTTGGAGTGATAGCACAGAGGGTAGGGCATTTGCCTTGCACGCAGCCAACCCAGGTTCGATTCCCAGCATCTCATATGGTCCCCCGAGCACTGCCAGGAGTAATTCCTGAGTGCAGAGTCAGGAGTAACCCCTGTGCATCACCAGGTGTGACCAAAAAAGGCAAAAAAAAAAAAAAAAGAATCCCAAAGTAAAGGGTAGTGCACACATGTGGAACCACACAAGAAAGAGGTCAGACTCACCGTTTCCCACTTACCAGACAGACACTCGCTCCACCATTGACTACCCCTGGGACCCTCTGTTCAGCTGCACCCGCCCCCCATCCCCACAATATTTCTATCTGATTATTCTACCTCCTTTTGTAGAGGGTTTTTTTTGTGATTTTTTTTTCCCTTTCACCACTGAATTGTTTCAAGACCCTTGTCAAAAAGCATTTTACTGCTTACGTGTGGATTATTCCTGGACTCTATTCTGTTTGTTTGATCTAATTGTCTTTCGCCAATAACACATTATTTTGATTAACTTTATATAATAAGTCTTGAAGTCAGTGAGTTCTCTTAACTTTTGGTCTTGAAATTGTTTTGCTTATTTTCAAGGCTATTTGCCTTTCCAAAAATACTTTTCAAGCCTCTTGTCAGTTTGTAGAAGACAGACTGCTGGGATTTGGGTTGGATTGCATTGAATCTGTAGTAAATCTGGAGCATTGCTGATCTTTATCTGTAGTGCCTTAGATTTCTTTCATTCCTTATTTTTTAAAAATAAACATTTTCATAGATAAAACCCCCATTATTTCATATTTCATACTTAAATCATCCTTTTTCATAACTTGTTTTTTTCCCTCTGTTTCCTATAGTAATGCTGTTTGAATTATCCATTCTAAACCTTATCTTAGATACCCTTCAACTAAAGAACCAGGACTGAAGAGCCAGGGATAGTTGGCAGAGCACATGCTTAGCACGTGCATCCCTGAGTTTGATCCCTGGCCCTGCATGGTCCCGAGTACTAATGCCCTGAGCACTGACCTGTCAGAATCACATGCTGGCCTAAGTACTATTTGGGCTGGTGTCTATTAAAAAAAAAGTAAATAGGGACCAGGGCTAGAGTGGCAGTACAGCTAGTAGGCCATTTGTCTTCCTCAGGGCCAACCCAGGTTTGATCCCCAGCATCCTGTATGGTCCCCTGAGCACAGAACCAAGAGCATCACAGGGTATGGCCCAAAAACTGGGGGCAAAAAAAAATGTAAATAAGGGCCAGAGAGATGGTCCAGGGGTTAATGTGCTTGCTTTCCTGGTATGTAGCCATCTCCAGTTCACGTCTTGGCACACCAAGCATGGTCCCCCCCCCCCCCCCCCCCCCCCCCCGCCGCGTACCACCAGGAGTGATTCCTGAGCACGGAGCCAGGACTAGACCCTGAGCACCACAGGGTGAGGGCCTTCCCTACACTGGAAGAAATGTAACTACAACGAAGAATCAATGGTTATTTGAGCAAATAGACTCAAAACTCTTTACATTGAATGCCCTTCTTACCTCTAGACACCTCCATTTATTCCCATCATGGGCTTTCCTTTACAGTTTGTGGATCGTTTGGTTTCTCTGGATAAACTTTCCCACTATTGCAACTTTATTTTTTTATTGATTTCTCTCTTTTTTGGAGACACCTTCCCCCATCTTGATTTTCCCCCAAATTTAATATAACTCATCTTGGTATCTTAAAAAAAAAAAGCCTTTATGATCCCTTCTGAGCAATTGTGAAATATTACATAGATTTTTTCCCCCTCTAACCAAAAGTAGGGAGCTACGTCCCCTGACTCCCTCAATTTTTTTTTTTTTAATTTTCAGGCCTGAAAGATAACCAGCCAAATTATACTAGATAACACTTAAAATCCAAATTAGCACATGTTCAGAGCAGAAAGGATCGTGGTCGGTTCATGGTTGTCCAGGCAAGATGCCTGTGGTGGTGCCCCTGTCCCTGTTGGGGGCCTCTGTAAAGGAACAACACTGAACTCTATTTTCTCCTTTTACATTTTTTAATTAATTAATTAATTAATTATTCTTTTTGGGTCACACTCAGCGATGCTCAGGGGTTACTCCTGGCTCTGCACTCAGGAATTATTCCTGGCGGTGTGCAGGGGACTGCGTGGGATGCCAGGGATCGAACCTGGGTCAGTTGTGTGCAAAGCAAATGCCTTATCCGCTGTGCTAACATTTTGTAATAAAAGTCCAATTCTGTTCAGATTTTTTTAGTTAGCCAAATGGGTTCAATTGTAGGCCGTTAGTAAAGACAGTGGTAGATAACTTGAACTTTTGAAAATGCAGGAGGCCCTGGAGGAATAGCCTGCGGGCTGAGTGCCTACCTTGCTAGTGAATGGCCTTGAGTTCAAATCCCAGTCCCACATGCACCTAGTACTATCCTAGAAGTTGTACTGGGTGCAATTCCTGGCACTGCAAGCAATTTCTAGCCACACCGCAGCCACGTGTGTGTGATAGAGAAGGGGTGTGAGCTCCACAGGGGTGGGAGCCCTTGGTAAGCTCCACAGTGCTCCACTTGTGCATTACCAGATGCAAAAGTACCATAGCCAGTATGTGTGAACTCCGGTGAGTGTGTACGCATGCATCCACCAGTGACCCACAGCAAGTGTGACAGCCATAACTCTGTGCCTCAACGGAGTTAAGGTCCCACACTGAAGGATTGCAACCTTGAAGGAGGGTGGGGGTGGGGCGCTCTGAGTTGAGTGCCACCTGCTGTTAATCATGCATGTGCCCTGCAGCTAAAAATGCTGAAACTACTCACAGGCAGCTGTGTGTGCAGCCCCTAGTCATCCCAGCAGCAGCCTTGACAGCAAGGATGACAGCAAGGGAGGGGAGAAGAAATTTTAAAAAAATGTGGGTTAAATGTGGGAGGGCCATGCACAAGACAAATGCTCCAGACCTTTCTTTTTGTTTAACCTACAGATCAGTTATATCAACTCAGTTTGATACTGCTTATGAATAAAAGAACGACAATAAATACTTATTTGACTGTTCTCACTGTTGCTTATGCTATTCTTTTCTGTTTAAATTTCAGGGACTTTGAATCTGAAATTCGATTTTACACTGGAAGTGACCCTCTGGATGTTTGGGATAGGTGGGTCTCTTTTTTATGAACTAACAATTTACCAGACAAGCCTTTGAGGCATTGCTTCTCAGAGTGGGGCCTGTAGACCACTGTATCAGAACAGAAAGTAGAGTCCTGGGGACCCAGAGAGCCAGAATAATCATAGTGTATCTTTCTGAGGTGCTCAGCGCTGAAAACGTTGAACTCCACCTCTATCCCCAGGCCCATTACTTCCCAGAGGTATGGTACGGACACTTGGAAGAGTTTGAGGGCTACAGTTTTAGAGCATGTCACCAAGAGCTTCTAAAGAGACATTCAATATATTAGCTATTTCTGTTTAAAGAAATCTAGAATGGGCCTTAGATCGAGGGGAAAAGTACCTGTTAAACTTTGGAAGTGTTTTCTTTTTCGTTCCCTTCAGGTATATTAACTGGACCGAGCAGAACTACCCTCAGGGTGGGAAGGAGAGTAATATGTCAACATTGTTAGAAAGAGCTATAGAAGCACTACAAGGAGAAAAACGGTATTATAACGACCCTCGATTTCTCAATCTCTGGCTTAAGTTGGTAAGTTTTTCTTGAGTACTGTATGACTTTAAAGGATTAAGGTTTGGAAGAGATTACTCATAGTGCTAGAGCCCACAGCTGGAGCATTTAAAGCCCTGAAGGCAGCTCCAGTCCCGGTAGGGCCAAGCCCAAACCCTGAACCGCCAGGTCCATGCCAGCAGCCTCGCCTTGTTGAAATGGATCCTTTTTTTTTTAAATGTAGATATTATATCAACAGAGTTTTTCTAGAGGTAAGCTAGTATATCAGATATGTCAGTAGCTGAGAAGTCAGTAGCTACATCACTTTTAGTAGATGTGGTTTTTGTTAAATTAGGTCTCCTTTAATAAAGACTTTTTTATTAAGAGGGATCACCCTATTAAGAGTGATCACAAGGCCAGAAGATAGTACAGGAGTTAAGGTGCTTGCCATGATGCATCCTACCTAGTCAGTCCGCAGTCTCCCCCCAGAAGTGATCCCTGAACCCAGAGTTAGGAGTAGGCCCTGGCGCTGCTGGTGTGGCTCCAGAACAAGACCCAAAGAGGGATCTCAGGGACTGCTTCTCTCTCCGTGGGAGTAGTTACTTGTTTGTTTTAAATATGATTGGGTCATGCCACTGTTGGAGGAGGAGTAGGAGGAGCCCGCCCAGAGCCTGGGAGGCAGAGGAGAGCATTTTTACAGGTGATTCTGTATCTCCCCTGTTTTGAGAATCACCATCAAAAAGTGATGTGATGTTGGCACTGGAGCGATCATACAGTGGGTAGGGCGTTTGCTTTGCATGAAGCCAACCCAGATTCAATCTCCGTATGGTCCCCTGAGCACCACTAGGAGTAATTCTTGAGCACAGAGCCAGGAGTAGTCCCTGAGCATCACCAGGTGTAGCCCAAAAACCAGGGCAGGGGATAGGGATAGTCCTGGAGATGGAACTCAGGCATGGAGAACCTACACCCTTCGAACCATCTCCCTGGCCCTGATGTTCAACTTTTCGTCTTTTACTTGTACATTTACTATAGAATTTTTTTTTTAAACATTGTGTTTTTAAAACTTCCTTTACCCCTTTTTATTTTTCTTTGCCCTTTTTTTTTTAAAAAAAAGTTTGGGTCACACCAAGCTGAGCTGAGCTCAGGGCTTACTCCCAGCTATGTGCTCAGTGATCCCTCCCAGCGGGGCTCAAGGGACCACATACAATGTAGGGAGTTGAACTTGTTTCAGGCCACTGCAAGTGCCTTAACTCCTGTGCTATCTGGGCCTAGTTATTTATTACAAAATATGTATTTATCATCAATAAATACTATATTTTATTTAATTTATTATAAATAATTATAATTACTATTACAATATTTATTGCAAGAGGTAATTTATTATAAAAGACAGTATTGTAAGACTGCGGAACAGTTTTGTGAGCATGAAGACTACCATTCCAAGTAGTATCCTAATAGGTTTTGTTATTTTATATAAATGTCTTCTTGTTTTGTTGTGGGGCACAGCTGGAGGTACTCGGAGCCATGTGCCAAGCCTCCCTCGTGCAAAGCATGCACTTTAGCCCTCGGGCTATCTCCCTGGATCTCTCTAGAATGTTCTTCAGTGTGATTTCACCCCCCCCCCCCCAAAAAAAAGACTGAACTAGATAAATCTTTAAAATGACATAATTCAGGATTCTACTTGCATTTTATTGGAACTATTAAAAGTAACAATTGATTGGAGTTATTTACCTGTTCACTGTAAAGTTAGTATTGGGAATTACTACTGCACTAAGAATTTTTACAACCCTCTTAACAGTTTGTCACTTTTTAATATTCTACTGCCAGCAGTTTTATCTTAAGGGACTAATAATGTAAAATGTGAAAGTTTCTTTTTTATGAAGGTATTATAGAATTATTTATAATTGTACAAAAGTATAGAGTTTATCAAAAAATAGGGAGTAATTAAAATAATCTTCTACACAGAACATTATTTATTCACTTACAGTAAACAGTGGGCCAGGGATATAATTCAGTTATATTCTGAATAACACTTCACCTCAATAATGCTCTGGGTGTGATCTTCAACACAGAAAATAAAAACACAAAAGATTTCAAAGTAATAGAAATAAGTTGTTTGAAAAAAAGAGATACACCATTGTTAGTGGAATAAAAGGAAATTTTATTTTGATTGCAATTTTAAAATACAATTAAAATGCTTTTTACTTGTATAAAAGAACTGGTGGTATGACTCAGCAGTCGAACACTTGCCTTGCATGTGTCAAGCCCTGGGTTAAATTGCCAGCTCTACCAAAAGCAAGCCAATAAAATATATTTTATTTGTAAGAAATGATAAAGGTACCTTAAGGAAATAAATACTCAGGAGACTATATCACACTATTATGTGGGATCTATTGGTGATCTCACCCTGTGGTTATCTATATCGTATCCACTCTTAAGTTCCCCTTAAAACATAGTTTTGATCAGGCCATTCCTTTGCTTACAGTTTTCCTACCCAACATGCAGACGTTGACTGTAATGTAAATTGAAAATTGATTGACTTGATTTTCAAGACGTTTTCCCGCCCCCTCAAGCTCCTATGTGAACCCCTGTGAATGCTGAGCCTGCTCTGCCTTTACTCATGTAGTTCCTCTGTCTAGAATGCCCTTCCTTCCCTTTCTTTTGAGGCTGATGTTCCTCCTTTAAAGCCATCTTACTTCTTTAAATCTCCCTTCTTAGATTTTTTTTTTGCATGCTTGCTTTTTAGATTCTTTTAGTACAGTCTGTATAACACCATATTGTGGCTTTCAATGTAAAAACAACATATGGTAACTTTTGTAGTAAAACTACATGCAGTGATTGTTAGCACTTAATAGGCACTCCGTAAGTGACTCGAAATTGACCATTAAAGTTTTTAATTTGTTACAGGGGCATTTGTGTAATGAGCCTTTGGAAATGTACAGTTACTTACACAACCAAGGAATTGGCATTTTACTTGCTCAGTTCTATATTTCGTGGGCAGAAGAATACGAAGCTAGAGAAAATTTCAAGAAAGCAGATAAGGTTTTTCAAGAAGGGATTCAGCAGAAGGCTGAGCCGCTGGAAAGGCTGCAGTCCCAGCACCGGTAAGTTGCTTCCCTCCGGCTCCTTCCAGTTCTTTAAAGGTAACAGATAAAGGGGCTGACGAGCTAGTACAGGAGGTAAAGTCCTCGCCTTTCTGTGGCTGGCCTTGCCACAGAATCCCAGGCACATCTGTTTCCCTGAGCCCAGAACCACAAAGAGCTCCCAAGGACTGCAGGACGTGACCCAAAACCAAAACAAAAAAAACCAAAGCTATTAGATATAAAGGGTCATTTTTGGCATCCAAATAAAGTGGTCTCCATGGATTGGTAAGCTTACTTAATATTCAAGTTTTTAGAAGGCATATTACATTTTCCAACATATAATAACATTCACTCTCCGGCATGCAGTTCTTTAAAATTTTCACAAGTGAACAGAGATATGTTGTTTTTCCCCTGATCAAGAAAGAAAAACTGTGGAGCTGGAGCGACTGTACAGCAGGGAGGATGTTTGCCTTGCACGTGGCTGACCTGGCTTCCATCCCCAGCATCCCATATGGTCCCCTGAGCACTCAAGTAATTCCTGAGTGTAGCGTCAGAAGTGACTCCGGAGCATCACCGAGTGTGGTCCAAAAAACCAAGACAGACAGACAAATCGATTCAACAGCAATTTTTCATACTGTTGTTCTGTAACCCACACCTTTTCCTGTTCTTAACCCCAGTTTTATGGTTTGGCCTTTTCATAATACCAGCTAAAATACTTCCAGGTGGCAGAATCTCTGTGGTCTGAAGATGGCTTAGGTGAGGGGCATCCAGTTTTTGTGGTCGTTCACTTGTCCAGCCCTGCTTCAGTGGCCTTCAGAACTTAGCTTTGGCTTCAGCTTTGGAAGGAGAGACCGGGACTCTGCCCTGCACTCAGTGACCGGGTCTTATCTGAGCGCAGCCATTCCGGCTTTCTTTTGGTTGTATATATTTTCCCTTGGTTTGTTTTTTTCTTTGTCTAACAGCTTTAGAGTTATACACCCCTTACAGTCTCATCTCAGGACACTTAAACACAAAGAAAATGAACCCCATACTCGTTGAGCAGTCCCTCCCTATTCCCTCTCATCCCAGTTCCAGGCACACACTCATCTGCTTGCTTTCCTTTTATTTTATTTATTTATTTATTTGCTTTTTGGGTCACACTCGGCGATGCACAGATGCACATGGGTTACTCCTGGCTCATGCGCTCAGGAATTGCTCCTGGCAGTGCTAGGAGGACCATATGGGATGCTGGGAATCGAACCCGGGTCGGTGTCATGCAAGGCAAATGCCCTCCCCACTGTGCTATCGCTCCAGCCCCCACTCATCTGCTTTCTGGTAGGCGAGAATTCCACCACTGAACCGCCCAAGAACCTAAGTAGCTTTTCGTCTCTGGGTTTTACTCTTGATATATCACATACATGGAGTATGGCATGAGAACTGTTTTCAGCCATCACTGTAAAAAATACTTCTCTGTACTTACAGCACTGTACTTCTTTATCTTTTCTTCTAGGACTCCTGTTACACAACGCTTGGATTTCTTAATGTATCACAGGTCCCTCCCTTATGCTCTGTTCATTTAAAAAAAAACTTGTATAATTACCATCTGTTCTTCAAAATGGTCGATTATTACTGACCTGTCTTTCAGTTCATTTACTCTCTGCTTTATTGTTTGATTCTATTACTTCATTCTTATGGTAAATTGTTTTCTTTTTGGTTTCTGGGCCACACCTGATTGTGCTCAGGGATTACTCCAGGCTCCAAGCTCTCAAGGGTTGCTCCTGGTGGTACTGGGGGAACTATAGGCAGTGCCGGGGATTAAACCATGGTCAGCTGCACATACAGCAAGTAAAGCTGTACTATCTCTCCATCCTATTTTTATTCTTTATATTGCTTTTTTTTTGGTTTGTTTTTGTTTTATTTTGGGAGCCACACCCGGAGGTAATCAGGGCTTACTCCTGGCTCTTGGTTCAGGGATCACTCCTGATAGTGCTCGGGGGACCAGATGGGAAGCCAGGGCTCGAACCCAGATTAACCATATACAAGGCAAGCACCCTACACACTGCGCTATTGCTCCAGCCCTAGGTATTCTTTTTTAGATCTGGAAGCTCTTCTTTCTTTCTTTCTTTCTTTCTTTCTTTCTTTCTTTCTTCCTTCCTTTCTTCCTTTCTTTCTTTCGTTTCTATATCTCTGTAAAGAAGAGAAAATCTCCATTTATTTCAAATTATTTTTTACCATCATGTCATGGAGCGAGGTTATAGATCTCTCTCTGTCTGAAAACCCTGACTTCTGAGTAATCTGATGAGTTATCTGTTGGTTGTCTTTCCCTTTGAGAATTGGTCACATTCTCCTGGTTCTTTGTGCATCAAATAATTTTGGATTGTTTTCTGGACATTTATCTTGTTACTCTATGTATAGCAAGGGTCCTAAAAATTGACGTTCTGTGGAAAATGGTTCAGTTCGCGTTACTCCAGCTCTGTGCTATTCAGTCACAGTTTGAATACCAGGCCCCTCATGGATAAACTTAGGAGATCCTCTTCATTCATCCTCTTGAGTATTTCTCCCATAGTCTGTGCCTCTCAGAATTCCCTTTCCCCAGTATCCTGACCAAATCAATGCAAGGCTACTTCTAGGACTGTCAGCTTTCCACATCACTGTTCGAGTAATTTAGAACCACTAGAGAAGGGTGGAGCAGTAGTACAGCATAGGACGTTTGCCTTGCACTTGGCCGCCACAGAGCTCCAGGTTCAATCCCCTGGAGTTCCCTGTGGTCCCCTGAGTACGACCGAGAGTAAATTCCTGAGAGCAGGGCCTGGAGTTAACTGGAAGCATTGCCAGATGTGACCCAGAAAGGAAAAAAAAAATCACTAGAGAAAGGAGAAGGAAAGGAAAAAACCAAACAGGAAACAACCTCGTGTGTGTTGTTCAAGTTTGACTCCTCTCCACAGTCCACTTGCTTTGGATTACTTTGAGAGGGCTTGGTCACTCTTTTAGTATCCTGGGTAGAATTTTTCATTCTAATCAGGATGAGAGGCTCTCCTGGACTTATTCCGTCTTAGACACCGCTGTGAGTTTGATAATACTTAAAACTGTGACAGCTTTGCTAAAATAAAATGTCACGTTAGGTGCGATTTAATCTTACTTTCTGAAAAAGTGTGAGGGTGAAGCTGTAGGAGTCGAGAGAGACTCATACAGTGATTAAAGTAGATGTGTAAGATATTAACAATTGGTTAATCTAGGTGAATGGTATTTGGATGTTAGCTTCCCCTTTTTTGGGGGGGGGTCACATCAGCTGTGCTCAGGGCTTGCTCCTGAGTATGTGCTTATTGACCACTCTCGAGGGGCTTGGAAGGGGCATATGGGGTTCCAGGGATCGAATTAGGGTCCAACCTGCCGTGCTCAAGGCAAGCAATCATCTTATCCCTGTACTATTGCTCCAGCCCTCTTTCAACTGTTTTGTACGTTTAAAAACCTTTATAGCTGGGGTGTAGTTCAGTATTAGAGCATATGTCTTGCATATATAGATATATATACATCTTAAAGTTTTCTAATCACAAGTTGGTTGAAACACAGTTCTTAATAAATTCTATAAGCTTAGTCTTAAACATCCCGTTTATTTTGGGGAGGTTTGGAGGGTTTTTGGGGGGTGTTGTTTATTTGGTTTGGAGCCCACACCCGGAATTGCTCAGGGCTTACTCCTATTCCTGCACTCAGGAATCATCCCTGGTGAACTTGGGAAACCATATGGGGTACTAGGAATTGAACCCTGGTTGGCTATGTGCTAGGCAAGCGCCCTACCCACTGTACTACCACTCTAGGCCGCTTGTCCCTCCCATCCGATCCTTAGATCATTCTAACATAGTGCTGCAGAGTAGTTTTTATTGATCAGATGAGGATGTTTAAGGTGTGGGTGAGAGGTTCTAACTCATTCCAGACAAAACCGTCTTTGGTTTCAAGGTATCTCTTTCTTAATGCCCAGGAAATTAAATCTTTTCTTTAATATATATGTGTATATTGGCAGGCTACCAAATGTAATGGCAGGCTACCAAATGTAACCTGCCCACACGCCAGAGTCTGGCAAACTTCCCGTGGTATACCCAATACGCCAAATACCAGTAACAATGATGGGTCTCATTCTCCTAACCCTGAAAAAGCCTTGAATATGGCACTTTTAAAAAAAAAATCTCAGGGCTAGGACGAAGAAGACGTTACTGGCACCTGCTCGAGGCAATCGACGAACAACAGGGTGGTAGTGATCATGATCGTGATATGTGTATATGTATATTTCCCCATAGTATTCTTCCTTGTTTATATTAACAAAATAGTTTTAATCGTGGCTAATGTTTATCCTTCTCTTACTGTAGACAATTCCAAGCTCGAGTGTCTAGGCAAACTCTGTTGGCACTTGAGAAAGAAGAAGACGAGGATGAAGTTTCTGCGTCTTCTGTACCACAAAGAAGCTCACTGGCTGAACTGAAGAGCAAAGGGAAAAAGATAGCAAGAGCTCCAGTCAGCCGTGTAGGGGGTGCTCTCAAGGGTAACTGCTCATTGTTATTATGGGAAGCTTAGTCTGCCGTGGTAGGCAAATTATGTAAGGGGCTAATGTATAAATATATATGTGGACACTGTCCTAGTTTTCTCAGGAGTCGGTAGCAGGATGAAGAAGGTCCAAGGAGAGATGAAATCAGAGTGTACAGTGAAACTAAACTGTCAGCAACTTTATGTCTTTAATTAAGAGTAACAGTAATTAAGAAAATCCTAACATAAAAAGCATCAAGATTTTCTGAGTCTGAATTGTTAGTTGGAAGATGATATGCGATAACAATAAAGCATATTGTCCCAAGGTTTGGGAGGTTTTGTTTACATGGTCTTCAATCTTTAGGGGCCAGAAATTGGACTCTATGTACCTAAAGATGATTGACAGTAGACTTTTCAAATTCATTGTTTTTGAGGGCATTGTAGCTTCACAGCCAAATTGAATAGAAAGCAGTGAAAGCAGTACGCTTTTAAAAAGTAACTACATTTATAGCAGTTAGCTAAGCAGACCAGAATTTTTAAAAATCCTTTTCCTGGTAGCAATTTGCCAATATTTAGAGTATTCTTTGCATATTATAACTAGAGTATAAGAGATGAATAGTCCCAGCGGGCATGGGGCCAACCCCAGTGAGATCCCTGGCACTGCTGGTTCCCCAGCACTGCTAGGCGTAACCTCCAAGCACAGAGTCAGGGGTGGGCCATGAGCACTGCCAGGTGTACCCAAGACCCACTCCCATCCCCCCCAAATGGGTTGTCCTAAAGCCTATTTCATGCACGTCCTGGTGAAACTGTTGAAATAGCCTCACAACAGATCTCAATAAGTGGATAATTGTTTTAATGGATTCAGTATATCAGCTGATATCCATTGAGAGAAAATTTCATATTGAAAATCTAGGTTAGTCTCTGATAAGACTACCCAGTATTACGATGAATTGACTGAAGGACGATATAAAATTTGAGGTTTTTTTCTATATCTATGGATAGCAAGAATTGAGGTGAAAATAGGAAAAAGGGCAAAAAAAACAGATTTAAGAATTGCTAATTTAGGGGTCTAGAGTACAGGGCATTTGCCTTACACTCAATTACCTCACTTGATAGGGCTGGCAGGGGTTCTATCCCCAGCATCTCATACGGTTCCCTGACCACTGCCAGGAACCACTGCCATTCCTGAGTGCAGAGCCAGGAGTAACCCCTGCGCATTGCTGAGTATGATCCAAAAAACCAAAAACAAACCAGAAAAGCTTACTAATTTAAGACAGAGATAATACAGTGGGTAGAGTATTTGCATTGTACCTTCCCCTCAGTCATCTCTCTAACCTGATATGGTTTCCTGAGCCCATCAATAATGATCCCCGAGCACCAGCAGGTGTGGCCCAAAACCAAAATAAATAGAAGTTACTAATTTAGGGCCAGAGAGATAAGAGTGGATAGGGCATTTGCCTTTCACATGGCTGACCCAGGCTTGATACCCTGCATCCCACATTGTCCCCTGACCTCTGTCAGAAGTGATTCCTGAGCAAAAATCAGGAGTAAGCCCTGATCACAGCCGGTATGGCACCCCCAAAAAAGTTCAAATGGCACCCAATAGTTGGCTGGAGAGATAGTACAGTGGATAGTAAACTTGCCTTGCACACAACCTACTTGGAATTACTCCTGGCTCTGCACTCAGGAATTACTTCTGGTGGTGCTCGGGGATCATATGGGATGCTGGGGATTGAACCTGGGTCAGCCGAGAGCAAGGCAAACGCTCTACCCACTGTACTATCGCTCTGGCCCCCTATTCTGAGCAATTCTAGACGTGATCCCTGAGCACAGAGCCAGGAGTAAACCCTGGGCACTGCCAGAGTAGCCCCAAAACCAAACAAAAATTTTCTAATTTGTGGCAGAAGGTACTTGGCTTACATATGACCATCCCTGGTTTGATTCCCACATCACATGCGCTCCCCTGAGCCCCAACAGGAGCGAAACCTGAGCTCAGCCAGGTGTAAGCCCTGATCACTGCTGGGTATGATCCATCCCCCACACTTACACCCCCTCCCACCTCCCTCATAAAACAATTACTAATTTGACCCATTACATTTTTTAAAAATTAGGGTCGGAGAGGTAGTATAGAGGTAAGGTGCTTGCCTTACACACAAACTTGCGATCAATCCCAGCTCTTTTGCAAGTACCACATATGGTCCCCTGACCATGTATGGTCCCCTGAGCACCACCAACAGGTCACTCCTGAATACAGCCTGGAACCCCACCCTATGTGGCCCACCCAAACCCCTAAAAATAGTCCCCTTTAAAAATTCTCTCTTCGGAAAAAAAAAATAAATTTTTGATTCACTAAAAGAATAAATAAATAAAATAAAATATTGATGAGGAAAAAAATAAAAAATAAAAATGCTCTCTTCGTCTGCGGTGGGAAAAGCACTTGATCCTGTGGTAGAAGTAATCTCATTGATCTCAGGACTCCCTAGGTGTACATTCGCTGGTGTTTACTACTTTATTTTACATGAAGTCTTAATATCCCCTTCCCTGCCTTCCCCCGCTCCAGCTCTAAGCCATAACCGAGCAGTGCAAAATCCACTTCCGGGGCGGATGCAGAGTAACTCTAGAGTCACAGTCTTCGATGAAAATGCGGGTGAGACCTGCGGCACCGAGGTGTGTGTGCCCACAGCCGAGCCGTGGACCGCCCGCCCTGTGACAAGGGCCAAAGAGAACGAATTGCAGGCAGGCCCCTGGAACGCGGGCAGGCCTTTGGAGCACAGGGTAAGAGCTCTGGGCGGTCCCCGGAGATGCCCGCACTGACCAATTTGGGATTTAGAATTGGCGTGCCAGGAGCCCCGGGGACACCCACACCCATCAACTTGGGGTTTAGAGTCACAGTGCTGGGAGCCTGTGTCACCGGGTGCCGTCTGCCTCTATGGCATCAGGACTTCACAATGAACTAATAATTCTCGTCTTCTTCACCGCCAGCCTCGTGGCAGTGGCGCTTCAGTGATGACCGAGCCCCCCGCACTTCCCAGCTTTACTCCGTACGTGGAGGAGACGGCACAGCAGCCAGTCATGTGAGTTTGATTTTCAGATTACTCTGCCGTGAGAACTACTCCGGGCTGGAGAGCAACTCTCTAGATCACCAGATTGCGGCCCCTCCCCCACCACGTTTTCTTTATGAGAATACAAGTAAACGGGTCCAGGCTGGGGAGATAGCCCCCCAAAGGTCGTGGCTTAGGAATCCCACTACCACGTGGTCCCCTGAGTACTGCCCTGAGTGATCCCAAGCACCTCAGCCTGAGCTCAGTCTACAAGCTCTGCCAGGTATGATCAGAGGAGAGCCAGTTTCCTGGTGCCTTTTTGTCAGTTTCTCTTGAGTGTATGTGTCTATATTTTTTGCTTGTTTTTGGGCCACAGCCAGCAGTGCTAGGGGTGACTCCTGGCTCTGCTCTTAGGAATCACTTCTGAAGAGGCCATATGGGATGCTGGGGGTTGGAACCAGGTCATCTGCCTGCAAGACAAGTGCCCTTCCCACTGTACTATCCCTCTGGCCCTTCCCTTGAATATATTATTATTTTTTCCCTTTCCCTTTTTTCATTGATCTCGGTGAGATACACAGTTACAAGGCTGTTCATGATTGGATTTCAGTCATCAGTGTTTCAACATCCAACCTTTCACCAGTGTACATTTTTCACTATCAATGTCCCAGTTCTTTCTCTCTCTCTCCCTCTCCTCTCTCCAGCTCTCTCTCCACCCTCAAAAAGACCACTTCATTCTTATTAAGACACATAATAGACTCACACTTGATACTCTTGGAGGCATAATCACTGTGATTTAAAACAGATGTTATCCTTATTATTGACAATTGTTGGGATTATGATGGTTCCCCTCTACTCTTCTCGCTTTCTTTCTTATACTCTTTTTTTCTTCTTCTTAAACTTTATTTATTTATTTATTTGGTTGGTTGGTTTTTTTGCATCACACCCAGCGATGCACAGGGGTTACTCATGGCTCATGCACTTAGGAATTACTCCTGGTGGTGCTTGAGGGACCATATGGGATGCTGGGAATCGAACCTGGGTCGGCTGTGTGCAATGCAAACAGCCCTATCCCCAGTGCTATCGCTCCAGCCCCTAGTTTTCTTTGTACAATTCTTGTTGTTGTTGTTTGTTTCAATTTTATTGAATCACTGTGAGATAGTTACAAGGTTTCATGTTTGGGTTATACTCACACAATGATCAAACACCCATCCCTCCACCAGTGCACATTCCCCACCACCAATATCCCCAGTATACCCCCCCTCCCCCCATCTCCATGGCAGATATGATTCCCATAATCTCTCTCTACTTTTGGGCATTATGGTTTGCAATACAGACACTGAGAGATCATCATGTTTGGTCCAGTATCTACTTTCGGCACACATCTTCCATCCCAACTGATTCCTCCAGCCATCATTTTCTTAGTGATCCCTTCTCTATTCCATCTGCCTTCTCCCCTCTGCTCTTGAGGCAGGCTTCTTTTACCTCTTTTGTTAAGTTGATTGCTGGGTACTTGATTTTTTTTTTTTGAGAGCCATTTAAAATGGGATTTAAAAACTAGTTTATTTTCTGTTTCACTATTTATAGAAATGTGGCAGATTTTGTTGTATTATTTGTAGCCTATCACTTTATCATATTGATTTATTTCTAGAAATTTTTTTTTGGAGACTAGGGTTTGTATATATATATTATATATGTGTATGTATATATATCTCATGTTATCTATGATTAGTGACAGTTTGATTGGGGTTTTTTGGGGAGTGATGGTTGGGGCTTGGGCCACTCCCATTTACAATTCACACCTGGTGGGTGGGGGACCATGGGGTGCCGGGGATTGAAGCAAGTCACCCCATGCAATACCCCACCCATTGTACTATCTCTGGCCCCAACACTCACCATCATTGTTCAAGGGGTCCATTCTCCTTTAGCTGCGGTGCCTGCCCGGGGCGTCATCTTCAATCGCATCATGTGCTCAAACACACCGTTTGTGGTGCTGGAGATGACAGGCCACAGAGCTCAGGCTTACTCCTGGCTTCTGGCAGGGCTTGTGGGTACCATATAGGGTGGGTGCTGGGGATCAAATCCGAGTCCATTACTTACAAGGCAGACCCCTGCCCCGTTGTACCGTACTATCTCTCCAGATCCAGTTGTGGGCAGGTTTTTTAGGTTTTTTTTGGTTGGGGATTGTTGCTGTTTTCAGAGCAAGATTATGTCATCTGCTAATAGAAATCACTTCTTTTTACATCTGAATGCCTTTTATTTCTTTTTCTTGCCTAATTGCCCTAGCCAGAACTTCCAATACAATGTAGAATGGAATTGTCACTACTTTATCTTGTTTATCTTGTGGTCTTAGAGGGGAAGCACTCAGCCTCCTATCATTAATTATGATTGTGTAGATGCTTACTAAATACCCTTTATCAGATTGAGCATGTTGAGGAAGGCTTCTAAAAGCATGGGGAAACTTGATTTGGAGGAGCTGTTTAAGAAGCAAGTATTTTTAATTTTACAAGGAACATAAGAGGGGGCTGGAAAGATTATACAGCAGGTAGGGTGTTTGCCTTTCATGCAACCATCCCATATGGTCCCCTTAGCACAAGAGGAATTTCTGAGTGCAGAGCCAGGAGTAACTCCTGAGCATCACTGGATGTGCTTCCCCTTCCCGCATGTCCCCCCCCCAACAAAGATACGTAAGAAAACAAAGGACATATACGAAATATAATCCAGGCCAGAGAAATAGTACAGCGTGTAAAGGCAGTAGCCTGGATTCCATCTCCAGCACTACATACAGTCCCTTGAGCACAACCAGGAGTGACCAAAAAAATCAAGAAAAAAGAAACTTAATCCATGGCCTGGATTGAGACCATCTCCCCTATCCTGACCGAGACTCTTTATGCTTCATTCATATCAAATCTGTAAGACCTTTCACTCATCCCTTTAACTGAGAGCCTGGCCCCTCATGATTTCTCTTAGTGCTGCATTCCTAACGCCGATTCTTTAGGGTGCCATACGATGAGAAATGGACTGCACCGTCTAGGTTAATTTCCTTTAATTAAACTTGATTAAAATGTGATATTAAGATTTATTTTCACTTAAGAGGAATATAAGATATTTTACGGCTAATTTCCTTCTTCAGAAGAGAGTGGCTAGTTCTCATTCACAACGTAATTGTTGATGACCCATCTAAATTACTTCTAGCTGCTTTTCTCAGTCTTGTTTTTGTCTTTTGAAAATCTTCCCACTTACAGCCTTTGAACTGATGTCCTTGTCTTGTCAAAACATGTAAATGGGCTGGAGAGATTAGACCAGGAATAAGGCACTTGGCTCACACATGCCTTCCCCCAGTTCAAATTCTAGTGCCACATGTAGTTTCTTGAGCACTCTTGGGTGCTCCTCTTTAAGGGGAAAAAAAAGACATGAATTTGGGGCCAAAATGATAGTACAGTGGGTAGGGCATTTACCTTGCACATGGCTGGCCCAGGTTTGATCCCCAGTACCCCATATGGCCCCTGAGCCCACCAAGAGTGGTCCATGAGTGCAGAGCCAAGAGTAAGCCCTGAGCACTGCCGAAAGTGACCCAAAAACCATAATAATGATGATGATGATGATGATGATGATGATGATGGTAATAAGTCATTCAAGATATATGGCAAATAATTTTTCTCTTTTAGGACTCCATGTAAAATTGAACCCAGTATAAACCATATTCTAAGCACAAGAAAACCTGGGAAGGAGGAAGCAGATTTCCTGCAAAGAGTTCAAAGCCATCAGCAAGACTCTGGGGAGAAGAAGGAGAAGATGATGTACTGTAAGGAGAAGATTTATGCAGGGGTGGGCGAGTTTTCCTTTGAAGAGATCCGGGCTGAAGTTTTCCGGAAGAAATTAAAAGAGCAAAGGGAAGGTATGTGTTGATGTCATTCAAGTTTGTGAAAATAACTTCCCTATGGGAAGGTTGAACTGAGAGATGTTTGGTGAAGATTGCCCCAAGGTGGTTTGTACCTCCCCCTGGTTTCTACTGCTTTTTTTCTGGTTTTGTTTGTAACTGTTTGTGCCACACCCAGCAGTGCTCAGGGCTCTGTGCAGAGCTAGGGATGGAACCTAGTGCTCCGTGTACAATATATAAATCCCAACCCTCCGGGCTATATCTGTATTGTGGATATTTTCCCCCTTTTGAGGGTAGGGCACCCATATCTGGCTGCTCAGGGCTTACTCCTCGCTCTGCACTCAGGAGTCAGAGGAGTAGCCCCCCTTATTTTTCCCTCCCTTTCTCTCAGACCAAGGACTTCACTATTTAAAACAAACCACACAGAGGTCCCAAAGTCCTTCATTATCTTTGTGTTTGTGTTCCTCTCCACCCATGACTCTATTTTTCATAGCCTCTTCACAGCAAAATAAATGTTTTAGAAATTTCCATTTTCCCCACTGTCCCCTGATCCTCACCATCATTAGAAATTTTGTTTTGGTTGAATCAAGTTACCATTTCAATTTTTCTTTGTTTTTGTTTTAGAAGTTTGTTTGTTTTCTTTTTTGAGGAGTGGGGCCATATCCGGTGGTGTCCGGGCTTACTCCTGGCTGTGTGCTCAGGGATCACTCCTGACTGGCCATATGGGATGCTAGGAATCGAACTTGGGTCAGCTGCACGTGCTTGCAAGGCAAGCACCCTACCCACTGTACTACTGTTCCAGCTCCCTAGAAATGATCTTTGATCCCTCTTTATCATTCCCCTTACCTAATGAATTATTGATACAATAAATAATTCACTTTATTAATACAATTTATAATTTATTACTATTTCTATTGGGCTGGAGCGATAGCACAGCGGGTAAGGTGTTTGCCTTACAAGCGGCCAACATGGCTGACCCGAGTTCGATTCCTCCACCCCTCTCGGAGAGCCCGGCAAGCTACCGAGAGTATCTTGCCTGCACGGCAAAGCCTGGCAAGCTCCTCATGACGTATTCGATATGCCAAACACAGTAACAAGTGTCCCAGTGGAGATGTTACTGGGCCCGCTCGAGCAAATCAATGAACAATGGGAGGACAGTGACAGTGACTATTTCTACTCTTCCTTAGTCCAAGCCATAAAGTTTTTAGCTAGACTATCTTACAACTTGATTTTCTGCCTTCATTCTGATTTGGAGGTTTGGCCACACCAAACAGTGCTCAGGGGCATACTCCTGACTCTGTCAGGGATCGCTCCGGCCAGTACTTGGGGAACCATGTGTGGTGCCTGGGATTGAACCTGGGAGTTTGCCACAATAAAGTGCCCTACTGGTTATTCTGTTTCTCTGATCCTGCCTTTTTTTCTGCCATGACTAAAATCCGCTTTTCTCCTTGCATTTTGTCTGTTCTGTTTTTGCTTTGTTTTGAGGGGGTGCAGTTTGCGCCACAGTTAGTGTTCATGAGCTACTTTTGGCTTCACGTTCTGCAGTTCTTTGGGTGAGTGAGGATTCAACCAGGCCAGCCACATTGCAAGGCAGGGACCACTATCTCTCTTGCCCCCAGTTTGTTTGGTTTTTATCCGGGAAACCACTCCCGATGGTGTTGAAGAGACTGCGCATATAATAGAATAAAATGGACTGGGCCTCGAATTGAGAATTTTGTCCCATTTATCATTTCTAGCTTTAATATTAACATATATCCATCTAGTCCATCTAGCTGACATATTCACCAAGACAGTTTTTGACAGAATGGATTGCTGTGAATAGTCATTCCTAAACCAACTTTATTGTTACTAGCTGAGCTCCTGACCAGTGCAGAGAAGAGAGCAGAAATGCAGAAACAGATTGCAGAGATGGAGAAGAAGCTGAAAGAAATCCAAAGCACACAGCAAGAAAGAGCCAGCGAACAGGTCATCTCTCTTCTCTCTCTCCCTCCCTCCCTCCCCCTTTCTCCCTTCCCCCTCTCTTCTCTGTCTCCCTTCTCCACCCTCCCTCATTCTCCCCCCCCCTCTCTTTCTCTCTCTCATTATGTAAGGTGAAAGTCTTCCTAACCCCTCATTCCAAGTTTTTGGTACTTTCTTAGCTACTAGTGTAAAGGAAATTGAGCAGAAAATAATTTAACAGGCAGTTTCAAATGGATTTGGTCATTTGTTATACAATTGATGCAATTTATTGACTAGTCACACTAAAAACCATTGTCCTGTTCCTTTTGACTTAACTGTTTTCATTCTTGCTGTATTCTGTTAAGATGGGTTTAACCAGGTCAAGAAGCTGGCGGCCATACTTGGCATGCGCACAGCCCTGAGTCCAATGACCCCACCCCCCGCCCAAGCATCCCCTGGTATAGCCCTGGTGGCCCCAGTAGCCCTGGGACTGAGCAGCAGTGTGTTACTGGCTGAATATTACTAGGGGTGGTCCCCACGTCCCTGGGCTCTGCCTGGAAGGCCCTCCATATAAATAAAATAGAGACTGAGCACATGCTTGGCATTGCTCAGTTGGGCATAACAGTACCCAGTAATACTAAACATATAAATGATCGGAAAGAACCTTTACTAGTAAGTTACGTCATATGGTTAGTGGCTCTACAGAGGAAGAATATGGTAAAACTAATGTTATGTCAAAATCTTGAAACTGACATTTTCTCTGTTGGAGGGACACATTGACTTTTGTTTGTTTAATGCAAATAGAAGGACGTGGAGATGCCTGCAGAGGAGACTGGTGGGCCAGGAACTGCTTCTGCACCTCAGGAGGTGCCAGGCACGGTGCCGTCCACTTACATTTGTCCAGTGACCTCGGCCAGGTAGGACCACATTGGTGGAGGGGCAGTGCTTATAGCAGAGCTCTGGGAACCGGCCTTGGGCTTTGCAGTGATTTGTTGTCCCCTTGGCTGTTACAGTCTCAGGGAAGCCTCCATCACAGCATCCACTTTGTAATGAGGGAGGATGGGATTCTAATTTTCTTAATGGGAAAAACATGTTTATTATAGAAAAAAACCAAATGATTCTCTTAAATCGCCCATTTTGTCCGGTAAGATGATGACTATAGCTTTGGTATTTCTTTCCTTATGTGTTGTTTTGCATTAACGTGTTATCAATGATAGGGTTTACATGCGGTACAGCATTTTAATGCCGCCCCCTCCACCAGAGTGTTCCCCTCATCCCTCCACTTCCCATTTTGCTTTTTAAAATTGAGAGCTTAATATTTTATAATTGGCTTCCATGTTAACATAGTTTATCAGATATATATCTGTAGCACTTTTAATGACTTCCATCTTTAAAATTTTGTATTGATGTTATTAGAATATTTTTCTTATTTGACTTTTAAGAATTCAGTGTATACTATATATGTTTTAAACATTTTTTCACAGAGAGACTTCAGCAGTAAACATTTGGCAGGACCAATCTCAATGTAAAAGTGAGTTGCATTGACAATCTTATATAGTATGTACTGATAACAAATACAGTCCATAACAACTGATAAATATTTTTTTTTTTTTTGGTTTTCTTTTTGCTTTTTGGGTCACACCCGGCAATGCTCAGGGGTTACTCCTGGTTCATGCACTCAGGAATTACTCTGGCGGTGCTCAGGGGACCATATGGGATGCTGGGAATCGAACCTGTGTTGGCCATGTTGGCTGCGTGCAAGGCAAACGCCCTACCCGCTGTGCTATCGCTCCAGCCCCTATTTTTTTTATAATAGAGGGAATTTAAGAAATATATAGAAAGGAGGGCTGAAGAGATAGTATAACAATTAACACGTTTGTCTTGCTTGCAGCCTCCCCAGGTTCAATACCTGGTACTACATATGATCCCTAGAGCACTGCCAGGTATACTCCTGAGCACAGAAACAGGAGTAACCTCTGAGCACAGAGTGCAGTGAGCCCTGAGGAATGCTAAGTGTAGTAAAAAGAGAGTTGAAAAGGAGTCTAAGGAATTTTACCTTTAAATCATGGAATTTGAGTATAAGCATATGATTTGAGTGAGATAGAGTGAAAGTTATTTTCATCAGATTCTTCTGTGCTGTGACATACTGAGCTTTGATTTAAATTCATACTACTAAGTAACCTTTCACTTAACTGCTGTCTACTGAATAAGGCATTTAAGGGGTAACCAGCAACTGAGACTGGAAAGTGGGTTTTTAGAAAAAAATGCTTAGAACAAAAGCTGTTTTGCATTCAAATTTATTTCTCTTCCATAGAAATGAGGGGAGGCCGTGTGGGGGGGCGGGAGGCAGGGGGTGGGGCGGCAGGCAGATAGTACAGTAGCTAAGGCACTTGCCTGGTATGCGACTGACTTGGGTTCAATCTCCAGCATCTCATGTGGTTCCCCCAAGCCTGCCAGGAGTGATCTCTGAACACAGAGCCGTGAGTAAGCCCGAGTACTGCTGGCTGCAACGCCTCCCACCGTCCCCGCCCCCCAAGAAGAAAATAAATTTTTTTTTAAATGTTAAAAATATGAAACTGTGAAAAACTTGTTTTTTGTTTTGTTTTCAAGGCAATACAGGATATTGGGGAAATGTTCGAACCTAGAAAGGAAAGAACATCTTTTTTTTTTTTAAAGTAGGAACCTTTATTTATTTATTTGGCAAGGGGGTCTTTTTGGGTCACACCTGCGATGCACAGTGTTACTCCTGGCTCTGCATTCAGGAATTACTCCTGGCAGTACTTGGGATGGGATGCTGGGAATCGAACCCGGGTTGACTGTGTGCAAGGCCAACACCCTACCCAATGTGCTATCACTCCAGCCCCGAAAGAACATCTTTTGTCAGTGGGACAATAAGGTGTCTGAGGTTTGCTTCAGAATAATTTAGAGTTGGGATTTGAGGTTTGGAGAGTGATAGTGATGGGGGAACAAAGATGAAACAAGATCATCTGTGTGTTGATAAAAACCTCAACTTTTGTGTTTAAAATTCTTGATATGGAACATTCGGTCTGCTATCATGTGACACAAAGGTATTATTCACCTGCGTGTTGAAGAGCAGAGCACTTCAACTCTAACTCTGCAACGCTAAACTGCTCTCTTTGCTTATAGGTCCCAGTATACCATTCCCCATTTTTGATGAGTTTCTTCTGTCAGAGAAAACAAACATCAGGTTTGAAGCTTTTGTTGTTACACATAGACATTTTTGTTGTTGTTGTTGTTAATGGGAATGAATTAGGGGCTCCTCCGATCACAGGGCAAACAGATGCTCACTGTCATTGTCTTTCCCAGCCTTCCTGCAGATTCCGCACAGGCTTCAACCCAACGAAGACCCCTTTCAATTCTCAAAACTTCAGAAAGCATCACTTCACCTGAGGATGTGTCTCCAGATGTTTGTGTAAGATCAGTATCTCTATATTCATATAAAGAGAACAGTGGACTGAATTGATGGGTTCTTACAAAAATTTAGGGCTAAAACTAAAATCACTGTGTTCAAATAACATGAAGAAATGCTCAGCATCATTATCATCAGAGAATGCAGGTCAGAATCAGAGAGATACTTTACACCCACTAGGATGGCCATTAAAAATGATAACAATAAATTAAGTGTTGGTGAGGGTATGGAGAAATTAGAGGCCTTTTACACTGTCAGGACTAGATAAAAACAAAAGCTACTTTGGAATTTGGTGGCTCCTTAAATGTTAAACATAGTTACTGTATAACCTAGCAATTTCCATATATTTGCATGTATCTGTACATACATATGTCTAGAATATATAATTAACATGTTTTAATTTCTCTTGTATCTATATCCAGAATATGTAATTCTAGATAATCTAGAATAGAATATATTCTTCTAAATATATCTAGGACATACTTTCCTTTGTTTTATTTCTGAATTTATTTCTGTATATGTCTAGAATATATTTATAATATAGTTAAAACATTTATATTCTAGATATGAGATAAATTAAAACATTAATTATATAGTCTAGACATGTATATGTATAGAAATTTAAATGTTCACACAAAAATACCTTGCACATTGATGATCAAAGCTACATTATTCAATAATAGCCAAAAATAGAAATAGTGCCATTCCTGTCAACTAATGCATGGATAACAAAAGGTTGTTTATGCATTCATTGAATTAATACTTGACCTTAATAGGAATGAAATTTACCTTGAAATAAATGAATTTACCTTGAAAATGCCTCACGAAGTAAATGAAACCAAACACAAAAGGCCACATATCGTATAATTGCATTTATATGAAATGTCCAGAATAAGCTAAATCTGTAAAGACAGAGTAGATTAGGGATTTCCAGGGAATGAGGAAAAGAGGAGGTTGGAAGTGATTGCTAATGGGCTTGGATTGATAAAAATGTTCTGGAGTTAGATATTAGTGATGATTGTGCTACTTTCTGTACCTTAAATCCTGTACTGGAGGGTACTGAATGGGTGAGTCTTTGGTAGATGAATTACATCTCTTTTTCTAAGTGGGGGAAAAAAATCACTAGCTCAAAATAATTTAAAATAGTTTTACAGCAGTAATTTCTGTAGCAAAGGATTTTTAATATAAGAAATGCCAGGACTGGGGCTGGAGCAATAGCACAGCAGGTAGGGCGTTTGCCTTGCATGCGGACAACCTGGATTTGATCCCCAGCATCCCATATAGTCCCCCAAGCACTGCCAGGAGTAATTCCTGAGTGCAGAGTCAGGAGTCACCCCTGTGCATCGCCGGGTGTGACCCCAAAAGCCAAAAAAAAGAAATGCCAGGACTGAAGCATTAATACTTGCCTTGCTCAGTGCCAACCCAAGTTTGATCCCCAGCACCCCATATGGTCCCCCAAGCCCACTAGGAGTCATCCCTGAGCACAGCTGTTATGGCCCCAAAACAAACTCCCACCCCCCAAAAATATAGATAGATAGGTAGATAGATAATGCCGTTTTTGATAATGGAAAATTTATGCAAGCTTTTAAAGTGATATTATAGACACTGTAGACTAGTAATGTGATAATAATAGTAAAAAGAACCTGTTCTTGAAAAGAACCTTCAAGTCAAAATAAATGAATGACCTTTATTGTTGACATCTTAAGGAATAAAAGTCATCTTGTTTTCAAACAAGCATCTAGAAATTTGAAGTTGAAGAGAATTGACTATTTAACCAACACTTTTTTTTTTAATCTTGTGGGACCAGTGATAGAACTAGATACCCCCAAGTTACATCCCCCACCCCTAATCTGAAGGATTTCTATTTTTAGTGTTTTAGTTTTGGGTCCACAGCTCAAGGCTTATGCATGCAAGCCTTGCATTCTACCCCTTTGAGCTATCTCCCAGCTTTTTAAGGATATGAATAGCTTCTCTGAAGACTTTTAAAGAGTAGTGTGCTGAGTTACTAGAGTAATTCAAAGCAGTGTATTCTTCACATTCTAGGGGATGACTGCCTCAGTAAAACATTTGTAAATATGGTACTTTTTAAATTTACTTCTTTCTTTAGGTATCTGTTCATTAAGCTGTGGAAATACAACTATTGCTAGATCTTCTTTGTCGTTTTAAAAATTTTTTAATTTAATTTTTGGGTTTTGTCATACTCAGCAGTGCAAAGGTCTTACTCCTAACTTGTGCTCAGGGACTTTATGGAATGCTAGAGGTCAGACCTGGAGATGTCAGCCACATGATGCTGTCCTATCTCTCCAGTCCCTCCATTTTTTTCTTTTGGAGTCACACCCGGCGATGCACAGGGTTTACTCCTGGCTCTGCACTCAGAAATTACTCCTGGCAGTGCTCAGGGAACCATATAGGATGCTGGGAATCGAACCTGGGTCGGCTGTGTGCAAGGCAAACGCCCTACCCACGGTGCTATTGCTCCAGCCCCCTTTTTTTTAAAAAAAAAAAAAAACACCTAGCTTTTACACGCTCTGCCTTTTCTCTTCTCAGGAAATCTTAGTTCAGTGTTCACTAATTTATTCTTTTGTCCATTCCTAAATTTCATATCCTTATGTGCACATTGGTCATTTCCTCCAGTACTTGTCTTTTCACCTTTCTTACCTTTGCATAACCTCCTTGAGTTCATTTTCAATTTGCTGTGAGTGGCAAATTTTCATCTTTTATCATAGCTGACTAGTATTCCATTTTGTGTGTGTGTGTGTGTGTGTGTGTGTGTGTGTGTGTGTGTACAGCATCTTTATTTAGTCCTAAACCAACAACCACTTCAGTTTTATCTATTGTAAATTTCCTTAGTAAGCATTGCCAGTAATAGCCCCCAAATTTGAGTACACAGCTTGGCGCAGCCCATGAGCACCTCTGAATGTGAACCAAAATAGTTGGGAAAAGTCCCTAATAATTTTCCTTTGTTTGGAGAATCATTGTATTTTGGGGGGTAAAATAGTTTTGGGTTTTTTTTTGTTTGTTTGTTTTTCATTTTTTAATTTTTTTATTAGTGAATCACTCCAGCCCCTTGATGTACTTTTTAAACTTGTCTCCCACCCTAGAGATTCAGATATGCTGCTTCAGTAGACCCTGTGTTGACGATTACTTCCCTAACATGTCAAAGTAGTAAAGATAACTGTTCTCATTCTTTGAACTATTCCAAAACGTTTATGTAGTCTTTGTTTCAGGATGAACTCACAGGCATCGAACCTCTGAGTGAGGATGCTATCATCACGGGTTTCAGGAATATGACCATTTGTCCGAACCCAGAAGACACTTGTGACTTTGCCAGAGCAGCTCGTTTTGTGTCCACCCCTTTCCACGAGATAGCAGCCTTGAAGGACCTTCCTCCTGACGCTGAGCGACTGTTGCAGGTAGAAGATCTAGACGGGAAGGCCTGTGAGGACCAGCAGATCGCCTGTGGCACTATCTACAATCCACCTCTGAGCATCAAGAAGCTGAGGTGTGTGGGGCCCTATATTGGGTGGAGGCGTGCTTGTCGGTTGTGACCACCGAGTATCCATCTCTTAGTGCCAGCCCAGCCCTGTACTAGGTGCATACATGATATGTAGGCTTCCTTAGGTAGAGAGTATGTTGAATATAATCATTGATTTGAATACAGACATTAAAGTAAAGTTTGCGGGCGCCAGAGAGAGACTACAGCGGGTCAGGCTCTTGCCTTCTTTCTTTTCCAACCTCAGTTTGATTCTCAGGACCATGAGTACCACTGGGAGTGATCCCTGAGCGCTGAACTAGAATTATGCCCTGAGCACCGCCAGCTGTGTCCCAAAAAACAACAGTAAATTGTCACGGTCATGAAACTGAGGGATCCAGGAAAATAGTATCTGAGGAAACTCAGCAAAGCATACCTGACTGGGAGGAAAGAGACAATTATTCCTCTTTTACTCTGAGATAAAATAATAGTGAGGGGCTGCAGCGATAACACAGCGGGTAGGGCATTTGCCTTGCATGTAGCCGGCCGGGGTTCGATTCCCAGCATCCCATATGGTCCCCCAAGCACCGCCAGGAGTAATTCCTGAGTGTATGAGCCAGAATAACCCCTGTGCATCGCAGGTGTGACCCAAAAAGCAAACAATAAATATAATAAAATAAAATAACAGTGAGCCACTGAATAGTCAGATCCTCACTGACTGTGGCCGTATGCCCCGCTCCAACAACACTGGGGATGTCCCATCCCCCCCCAAAAATCACATTATATCAAAACATACATGTCATTATGGGGGGTTTTTTTGGTAGTTGTTGTTGTTGATTTTGCTTTTTTGGTCACACCCAGCAATGCTCAGGGGTTACTCCTGGCTCTGCACTTAGGAATTACTCCTGCATGCGATTATGTTTAAGGGGAAAATACACATCTTAATATAAAAAGAATAATGATAGTCTGCTCAAGACTCATTTCAAGTAGGCAGCAACCAATGTATATTTCAGTAGTGGATTTTGCTCAAGAGACAGGAAAATGAATTATGTATAGATTTGAGGGAATGGCGTGGGAAGTCAGACACAGCCTGCCTGTGAGTTATCCATATTTACATGCAGGCTGATTGGAGGCTGGAATGATAGTACAGTGGGTAGGACATTTGCCTTGCACATGACCAACTCAGGCTCAACCCCCAGCGTCCCCTAACGTCCCTGGAGAGCCATCAGGAGTAATCCCTGAGTTCAGAGCCAGAAGTAAGCCCTGAGCTCTCTAGGGTGTGACCTCCTCCCCCCCAAAAAAATAAATTAATAAAATTGCTTTTTCAGGGTCCCAGGGGTAGTTTAGTGAATGGGAGAGCTCATGCTTTTCACATGCAAGGGCCTGGTTTGATACCTGGCACCAAAGCGGGGTGAAAAATGACCCATCAAAGGTTTTCTTTAACTTTTAATCCCATTTGCCAGCATGCATTCATGCTGAATGATTTCAATTTTCCTTTTCTTGATGTTTCCTCCTTCTCCCACTTCAAGGTGCTGCTGCTGATCCATTTCCTGAATGGTCTTTTCTTATTGAAGGGTTAAAAAAAAAAGTATATTTTAAGAACTGATAAAGAGGAAGAAAGTTGGTGTCTTTGTTTAAAGTTCCCACATAGTTGAGAATGGTTGTGTTGGCATATACTATAAATGAGATTCAGAACGTTGATGCTAGGCATTGCTTGCAGAACACTATTCCCTAGATTCTGATCATGGATTTTTCACATGTGAGCCTTGAAGATCAATCGAAATTTATTCCTGTGAGGATTGACTCCTTTGTGTTTTTTCCAGCCCAATCATTGAAGACAGCCGAGAAGCCACACATTCCTCCGGGTGCTCGTCCTCCTCCGTCACGAGCACCTCCTCCATCAAGTGCCTCCAGATTCCTGAGAAGTTGGAGCTTACCAGTGAAATTGCAGGTAAGCTCCAGGCTACTCTGACGTCTATTACAGGGACATATGACCTTACGTCATGGTTCATATAACTGATGCAGAGATGATGAGAAATGTGTTCTCTGGGTCAAATGTATGATTTATTACCAGTAACTGTTTGATTTGTGTACCTATTTTCTATTCTTGGAATCCCATAAAAGTTCTTGGTTCAAAAGGGATCTAAGAGTGAAAAAGTTGAAGAAGTTTTGATTAATCACTTGGAAGCATAAGTCCCTGTCTAATGAACATGTACCAAGTTCAATTTACCAGGATATATGGCGTTTTTCTTTTCATTGGCATTTAAGCAGCATGGTTGTAATGGTGTTCATGTTCATGGTTTTGATGCTCAAAGTTACTGCACCTTTGCCACCAACAATTTGTCCAAGACCCTCTACCACTGACCCTTTGTCTCTTCCAGTCTACTGGAATGTTTTTATTCTCCAGGAAAGTTACTGTAAGGCCAGGGATATGGCTCATCAGTCAAGTTGCTTGCCTTGCGCATGTAATGCCCTGGGTCCATTCCCTAGCACGGCAATAAAAGGGCTGGGGAGTGGGTAGCAGTTACTAGGGACAGGGACATAGCTCAGAGGGCAGGGGTAGGCTGCATTGTATATGGCAGCCCCAGGTTCAGTCCCTTGCAACGCAGAGGGTAGGCCCGCTGCAAGGAAAGAAAAGCTGTCATCAAATGTGACATTTCAAAGAAAAACTTGGTATTTACTAAACCCTGTGTCATAAAGACTTGAGGTGTCTCACTATTGTTAAATTAACTGTGCTGATCGTCTAGTTTTATGTTGACGTTTCAACCCTCACCACCCCGTTCTGTTATCCAGTTTGGAATTTGGGGTGATATTTTTTCGCCTTCGCCTTTTTCCTCCTCATCCAGACAACCCCGCTCAGTCACCTTGGTGTTCACAATATCGAAGGCAACTGCTAAAAACCCTTCCAGACCTGTGTGCCTCCATGGAATTTTTCACAGAAGACAGGCCAATGCCTAAGTTGGAAATCGAAGGGGAGATTGAGTTAGGTGAGTGTCCTTGGATGTGTGTCCTTTTGTGTATGACAGAGGATGAGTAAGTGAGTGATTGTATTTTAACTTAATGCTTAAGCACTCTAAGTATGTCTAAACTGTAAGAAATGGCATCTAGAAGTTGGCATATTAAAGAGTTCGTGTCTGAGTAACAATGGGAATTCTGGCTTTCAGTTCTTAAAGATAATTTTGGAGAGTATTTTAGATACTATTAGTGGGCAAATATAAAGTGCCTGTTACCCTTACACCAGGAGATAAAAGCAATGGGATTAAATGTGTTTACAGTGATTTTTAAATAGAATCAAACCTTTTCAACAGGTAATGAGGATTATTGCATTAAACAAGAATATCTAACATGTGAAGATTACAAATTATTTTGGGTGACACCTAAAAACTCTGCGGAATTAACCATAATAAAGGTGGGACTGATCCTTTGTCATGTTTTATTACCTTACCTTTATGTACATGGGCTGGTTTGGTCGCTGTGGTCCTGTCACGCAATCAGAGCTCTTTCTAATCCTCTGAAAGTTTCCAGGCAAAATCAGGGACCCTAAAGGAACCCCTCACCGTCTTGGCCTGCATCAGATATCATGTTGGGATGTGATAGTGAAGTCTCTTGATAGTTACAGAGTATATTTTTTCACTTTTAACTTTTAGAGGAACTTTGGAATTGTCTGGTTTGCAGTTATCTAAGTGAAGTGTAGTCTAAGCTTCTCTCTCTCTCTCTCTCTCTCTCACACACACACACACACACAAATATACACACATATGCACTGTCCCCTTGAAATTGCCAATCTTAAGGTCTGACAGGGCTGGAGCGATAGCACAGCAGGTAGGGTGTTTGCCTTGCACGCGGCCGACCCGGGTTTGATTCCTCCATCCCTCTTGGAGAACCCAGCAAGCTACTGAGCGTATCCCGCCCGCACGGCAGAGCCTGGCAAGCTCCCCGTGGTGTATTCGATATGCCAAAAACAGTGACAACAAGTCTCAAAATGGAGACGTTACTAGTGCCCGCTCAAGCAAATCGATGAACAACGGGAGGACAGTGCTACAGGGTCTGACAGTAACTCTTAACATTTTATGTCCAATTTTCTGGATCTCATTTGGGGAGGGGGGGCACCATTACTTTGAAGGTGGAGGCTTAATATTACGTAGGATTATGCAGCATTAATGAACCCAGGTCCCTCGTGTTTTATTAGCTTCCTGAGAAAGGATGCGTAGGATATGAATTTTTGGAAATCATGTAGGTTGACATTTCTTATTCCACATCTTTGATAATTTGGCTTGATGTTGGCATTCTAGGTTCAAAACTTTTTTTCCTTTTCACTTTGAAGATGAGCACCGTTTTATTTTGACTTCTAATCTTGCTTTTAACGTCTTGCTATTCTGTGGGTGAGCCTATTTTTACCTCTCTGATCTTTGTAGGATCTTATTCTGAAATTTCACAGTTTCATGGTTTGGTAAAAGTCTCTTGTTCTCCTTTTGCTAGAAATTCAATAGACATTTCAATCTGGAAACTTTTTCTGTTCTGAGATGGTTACTTTAGAGAAATGTTTTCTCAGTCTTCTCTCTCACGTTCTAGAATTTCTTTTATTAGGGCATGGAGCCTAATGGATAGATCCTTTGAAATTTTTACCTTTTTTTCCTTCTGTGTTCTGTCTTTGTCGTTTCTTCTTATTTTTAGAATGTTTTGTTGACAGTTTTGTCTTTCAGTAAAATAAAAACTTTTTTTTTTTTTAGAGGGGGGACGGCCTTCTCAGGTGGTCCTGAGGACCAATCCCAGTAGTATTCAGCTATTCAGGCCAATGGTTCTGTGCTAGGGCCCAAGGATGGGGACCTTCGGGGCCATACCAGTGGTGCTCAGGGGCCATGTGGTACCCAGAATTCGCCCCTAACCCTGATATTGTTTTCTTGACCCACTTAGTGAGTTTGGGGTTTTTTTGTAGGGGTGTGGGGAGCCATACCCAGCAGTACTCAGGGCTTACTTCTGGCAGTACTCAAGGGGCCGTTGTGATATGGGGGGCTAGAACCTGGGTCAGCCGCCAACAAGGCAAGTGCCTTAACCCCTCTACTCTCTCTAGCCCCAGTGAGCTCTTTGTTGCTTTTACCATATATTCACTTTGCAAAGCCTCTTTTAGTCTCAGAATTGTGTTTATGTAATGTATTGTTCATTTCAAAAATAGAACATTGCAAGGAAAGAGAGAGCCCTGCCACAGAGGTGGGGTGGGGTGGGAGGATGGGGTGGGGGGGGGTGGGAGGGCTACTGGGATCATTGGTGGTAGAGAATGGGCACTGGCGGAGGGATGGGTACTCGATCATTGTATAACTGAAACCCACGCACAAAAGTTTGTAAGTCTACAACTGTACCTCATGGTGTTTCACTAATTTAAAAAAAAATAGAACATTGCTTTTATTTCTCTGAGCATACCAATTTTTAAAGTTGATTTTGGGGTTTTGTTTTTTCCCCCTCTATATCCTGTTTCCTTTTGTCCATTTGCTCTCTTACTTGTTCAAGTCTTCAACTCTGCTGTATTTCCGTGTGGGGCCTAAAAGGCAATTGGGAAGCTCTGGGGAGGGACCCTGAGAGTCGGGGCCTTGGTGGGATGGTCTCTAGGCCCTTTTATTGGAAACACTGCCTCTCCCGCAGGCGGATCACTCGGAGAAAACTTTTCTAATTTCCTGCCTGGATCACAGAAGCCGGTTAGAGGTTTCTGAAAACTGAATGAGGAAATGAATCTGGAACGGAAGGGAGAGGGCTGGGAGCTCCATCTTAACTAACGCTCAAATAGAAATTTTTTTTCCCCCGGTTTTCTACTCTGGCGTTATCACAGTTGGAGTGGTGCCCTCTAGCCCACAGCTTTTTCTTTCATGCTCTCTCGCCAGGCACCGCGAGGCTTTTGGAAGGGCGGTTGGGGGGCTGGGCTACAGGGCCCGTTTGATACCCTCAGGAAACAGGCACGAAGTTGCTTGCTCTCTGCTTCCCTCTCTATTCCGTCCACTTTCCTTGAGTCAGCTAAGTGGGTTGTTAACTCATTGTTCCCTTTTTGGCTTCTTATGTATTCCTAGTGAGTCTTTTAGGTAGATTCGCTCTCTGGTCAGCGCCAAGAGGGACCCGAAAGGGTGTTTTCAGTCTGCCGTCACAGCCAGAGATTCTGATGGCTCTCTCTCTCCCTCTCCCCCTCTCTTCTAATATAATTTATTACAGGTATTGTCTGAGCCCGTCCCATGGGACTTTTATATCAGCCTCAAACTAAAGGAACGTTTAAACCAGGAATGTGATCATTTTTGCAACTGTTTTCAGTATCAAGACGGCTGTATTATTTGGTACCAGTATATAAACTGCCTCACTCTACAGGTTTGTCATAATCTAAGACGTATCACTTAAAAGTCTTTAGGGAAATCCGTGCTTTAGAGAAATTACTGCTTTTAGAAATAGACCCGTTAAGTTGAACTTAAAGCATTGATCATTCTTTCTCCCAAGTGTTTTTTTTTTTTTAACCAAGAATCTCTGGTGGTATTTTTATTTTAAATTTATTATTTTAAATTTTTTTTTCCTTTTGTGGAGTTCATGCACAATTCAATCAGCTAATCAGTGGCTGAATAAATAGCAGTACTCCTACATTAAAAAAAAAATTATTTCTTTTTGGACCTCCCAATAGGGCTCAGAAGTCCAGGGAACACTCCTGCAAATCTGACAGTTCTCTATTCAACCCAGCTGTACCAGTGGCCAGCAGGACCCCTCTAGGCAGTGCAGGGGGTGTGAGCAGGGGTACAGGACAGTGAAGTCGGGCCTGGAGCATACAAGACACACACCTTAGGCCTTTGAGTCCTTGGGTTGGGTTTGTTTGTTTTTTGTTTTGTTTTGAGTTTGGTTTTGGCTTTATTTATTTATTTATTTTACTATTATGCCATTGTTCAAACATACAAAAAATAGAATTGTGCAATGAACCAATCATCTAATAGTAATCATTCATCCTAGTCTGATAATTAATTGTACCGCCTTACTTTGGTTGATTTTGTTTTATTCTTTTTTGTTTTTGTTTTCCTTTTCAGCTAACACACAGTAATGCTCAGGGTTTACTCCTGGCTCTGCACTCAGGAATTAGTCCTGACAGTGCTCACTCGGGGGACCATATGGGATGCCAGGATCAAACCCTGGTCAGCTACGAACAAGGCAAACACCCTACCCACTGTACTATCTCTCTGGCCCCCACTTTGTTTGGTTTTGATGCATTCTCTATCCCTCAAAATTGTGGGGTTTTTTACCTTTTAGTATGCCTTGTAAATTTTTCTTGGTTGTGGATTTAATGTGCAAGATCAGAGCAGCTGCAGTAATGTGGTTGAGACAGAGTCTGGGCAGAGATGACATACAGTCGAGTCTGTGCCTACAGACTGTGACTGTCTCGAGTGTATCTTGATTGTGCTGCTTGCCCTGGGACTGGTGGGCTAGAATGGGTTGTTCCTCTTCCCCAGATTGGGTGGGCAATGATAAAAGTCCCAGAAGATTCTGCTATGACCCCTGATGGCAGGCTTTGTTAAGAATAGAGTTGCTAAGGGCATAGTACAGCAGTTAGGGCACTCACTTGTCTTAAATGCAACAGGCCCGGGTTTGATCCCGGGCATCCCATATGGTCCTCCAAGCACTGCCAGGAATGATCCCTGAGTGCAGAGCCAGGAGTAACCCCTGAACATCTCCAGGTGTGCAACCCCCTTTAAAAAAAAGGTGAAAACAGAGTTGGAGTGGCATATTTTCAAAATAATTCTCCTTCCCAAGGGAGCTTGCTCTCTGTTATTTACTGAGACAACCTGTTCTAGCTCCTAGAGACCAAACCTGGGAAATCCCCTCCCCACACGGCCCGCCTGGTTCCCTGGAGTTTCCGCACTCAGCCCTGTCTGTACAGACCCTCCAGTCAGCCCAGCTGCTCCAACATTGGTCCCCACAGAGTGCCCTGTGGACCGTGGCTGCACCTGCCTTCTCCGGTCTTGGAGTCAGTGGTTAGCACTATGTCTTCTGCCTGTGACCTTGGAAGCACCAGTTTTTCGCTCTCTTCAGCCTTTTTCACATTAGGGCAGAATGGCAGCGCTTCAACTTTCTACATATAGAATAGGAACCCGAGTCTAGAGGCCTATTTTTGCCTCGTTTTTTCTATACTCACCCCCACTGGGTGATTTTTAGAGCCCGAACACAATATCATTCTTTGACGTATTCTTAGAGGTTTTTACTGCATATTTGGTAAACAATGTACATTTTATAAAATCACTGGAACGTTAATATGTTAAAACCACCATTTATACCAGGAAGATTGTTCCACAGTTAGCAGCCTGCCTCACAAGCTGGGGGAGAGGGCACCTGGTATAGGGAAGGGATCACTATGTCGATGATGGTGGGAGGGATTGCTCAGGATGGGAGATGTGTGCTGAAAGTAGATAAAGGACCAAACATGATGGCCTCTCAGTATCTGTATTGCAAACCATAATGCCCAAGAGCAGAGAGAAAGAAGGAAATTGTCAAAAAAAAAAAGAAGAAGAAGAAGAAAAAGGAAATTGTCTGACATAGAGGCAGGAGGTGGGGTTGGGAAGGATTGGGTAGGAGTGGTGGGAGGGATACTGGGGACATTGGTGGAAAATGTACACTGATGGAGGGATGGATGTTTGATCATTGTATGACCAAGAATCAATCATGAAAGCTTTGTTAGTGTATTTCACAGTGATTAAATTTAACAAACAAAAAGCCATTTATAAGAGCAGCTGTTATGGGCTGGGCTCATGATCAATGCTATTTTTTTGTAGGGGTGGGAGGGGAGGGTCCCCTCTGGCACATCATTTATGGTCTTTATCCATTATTTCATAAAGTTCTTAGAGTTTTATCGAAGAGTAGTGTTAAAACGGGTTCCAAGAACCCACAAAGAAACCCACATTCTAGTGGAAAACCGGAAAGGCACCAGGAGGAGTTAGCGTTGGCATATTAGAGATGACACTAACCCCCTCAGCTAAGGCTTCATGAATTTCCTCTTCTGTTTCCAGGATCTTCTTCAGCACCATGAGTTCATTACTCACGAAATAGTGGTGTTGGTTATTTATAACCTCTTGGCGGTAGTTGAGGAGCTGCACGCAGCAGAGATAGTCCACGGTGACCTGGGGGCCCGGAGTCTGGTTCTCAGAAACAGGTGCGTCCTTCCTCCGCTCTGGGGGTGTCCACTGTCTCCCGAAATCTGTGTGCCTGCCATTTTCTTCTGATAGCTGATAAGACCTATAGCAGTAAACACAGCATGCTACGAGAATGTTGGCTGTGTAAAAGTCACCATTGGCTGCGGTTGGAAAGAATTCAGAGAGCGGGCGGGGGTGAGGGGGGTACAGGGGCCAAGGCTGACATCGCGTGAGGTTGCGGTTCGATCCCTGGCACAACCTACGGTTCCCCGAGCACCAACCAGGACTGACACTGAACACAAAACTAAAGTGAACAGATCTCTAACGCATTTCCTAAAGTACTCAAAGGATAAAACATTTAATGCATTTAAAAAAAGAAGAAGAAAAGAATCACATACTCTATGATTCCTGTTAAGAAGATACAAAAACTGGGACATTTGGAGCTATGCGAGTCAGATCGCCTAGTCTCGCTTTGTGTTAGGCCAGGGCAGATCTAGCAAAGATACTAGTTAAAACCCTAAGTGCTGCTTGGTTTTTTTTATTTTATTATTTTAATTTTTGTTTTGTTTTGGTTTTGGGGTCACACCCAGCCCATGCTCAGGGGTTACTCCTGCCTCTGCACTCAGGAATTACTCCGGGCGGTGCTCATATGGCGGTGACCATATGGGATGCTGGGAATCGAACCCGGGTCAGTCGCATGCAAGGCAAACGCCCTACCCACTGTGCTATTGCTCCAGCCTCCTTTTTTTGTTTTTTGCTTGCTTTTTGGGTCACACCCGGCGATGCACACAGGTTACTCCTGGCTCGTGCACTCAGGAATTACTCCTGGCGGTGCTCAGGGGGCCATATGGGATGCTGGGAATCAAACCCAGGTCAGCCGTGTGTAAGACAAACACCCTACTCGCTGTGCTATTGCTCCAGCTCCAACACCTCTTTTCAATGGCCCTTCATGTCCATGGTGCTTGAAGCGTGGCTTAAAAATGCTTTTTCTGCCCCAATGTGGTGCCTTAGGGTAAGCAGTTAACTTTCTCTGAAGTTAGTAGTAGGGTATATGCTAATATGTAGAACCATTCTTTTTACATATCTCCAAAGTACTTACACTGCAAAAGGAAATTAAACTAAATCATGTTTGGCATGAAAATCAAAATCCTCGATGCTTTTCTTCAATTAGAACTGAAGGATTAGAGGACCCCACCTTCTTTCCTAGAAGTTTCCCCAGGCGTGATTTGGTGACATTTCTCTTCCTTTTGTTTGTTTGTTTGCTCTTTTTCTGGGGCCATACCCTACAGTGCTCAGGCCTACTCCTGGTGGGGCTTGGGGGACCATATGGGATGCTGGGGGTTGAACCCAGGTTGGCCACGTGCAAAACCAGAAGATAAGCACCTTACCCGCTGTACTATCCAGCCCTCAGCAATGTTTCTTAGCCAGGCCGCCACAGATGTTTTGGAGGAGAGTTCATGTGGGTTTGTTCCAAGCATTTCAAGATGTCCTACACCTTCTGATAACTTCTGCCTGTCCAATTAAATGATATATTCCCAGCCATTGTAGACACCAAAAATCCCTCCATGTGAAAATACCAGGGGAAGTGTTGATTTTCATCTTTTTCACAAAATTGAACATCCTAGGATGGTGCTAGAGCTCCCCGAGCTTTGAAAAGTATGAGCAAAGGCTCTGTCTCACCCTTCGGGATGGATTCAGATGTTCTCCTTACACCACCCGAGGGCTCTAGGGAAGCACGTGGTAATACGATTCAGGAAATTATGTAGAAAATAAAAGTTCCACAAGACATGAAAGTAGCCTTTTAAAATCATCTAAGGCATTCCTACCTATTTCTTAGGGAGGAAATGAGTTTCAAAATAGAGGAGTTATCGTTCCCATAATTAGAGTGATCTGTTAGAGAGCTAGAACAACTTATTTCTTTTTATCCATTGAACAAATAGTTTTCCTACCTCTCCTAAGTTTTATTTTTATTTTTTGGCTCTTGTGGGTTGCACTTTGTAATGCTCAGGGGTTACTCCTGGCTCTGCACTCAGGAATTACTTACTTCTGGCAGTGCTTGGGGGACTTATGGGAGGCCAGGGATCAAACCCAGGCTCAGCCATGTGCAAGGTGAAATACCCTATCCTCTGTATATCCCTCAAGCCCCTCTCCTAAGTTTCCAACATATTTGTGAACTAAGATTTTATGGTGACCAAAAAGAAGTTGAATCTTGTACCAAGGAACCATTTGGAAACCATTATAAATTTTGTTTATTACTATTACAAATAACAGTTTCTTTGGGGTTTGGGCTTGCATCTAGCTGTACTCAAGACTTATTTCTGGTTCTGCTCTCAGGAATCACCACTCCTGGTGGTACTCAGGAGACCGTATGTGATGCCAGGAATTGAACGAGGGTCAGTGTGTGCAAGGCAAGTGCCTTAACCCCATGCCCACAGTTGTAAATTTTATAGTCTCCAACCCCACAATTATGAATGTTGAAGTAAATATTTATAGATCATGCTGTGCTGTAGGGGTTTGTGATGAAATAAAGTCAAAGCCTCTGTTTAGACATAGGATCCTCTACCATTAATCATCAATCAGATCAGAGGGAGCAGAGAAAAGCAGAGACAAAAGGAAAATACTATTAATTAATTCACGGAAAATTAGTGCTGTGAGATCCACTTCTCAAGAAAAGTTGCTTCAGAGAAGGTAGTGCAGGAGGTAAAGTACTCGTCTTGCACATGGGTGACCCTAGTTCTATCCCCAGAACCTCATGGTCCTCTAAGCACAGCCAGGATTGATCCCTGAACTCCACTGGGTGTAAGCAACACCGCTCCCCATACCCCTCACCAAAGAAAAAGGAAGAAAAGTTGGGCCCGGAGAGGTAGTACAGGGGTTTAGGCACCTCCCTTGCGTGCAGCCAGACTCAGTTTGATCCCCAGCACCTCATGTGTCCTGTTGAGCACCTCTAAGAGTGATTCCTGAGCACAGAGCCAGGGGTAAGCCCTGAGCACTGCCAGCTGTGCTCCATAAACAGCAATAACAAAGGAATAAAGGTGGAATAACAGGTAATAAGAGAGACAATGTTTCCAATCAAACCAGGTGGTGACCGGTGGCACCTGTACCCCCAAAAAACCCAGACTTAATATATTATTTTCAATTAAACTCTGGAATGGAGCTGGAGGATAGATAGCCGGTAGGGCATTTCCCTTTCATGCAGCCAACCTGGGTTCGATCTCCGCCATCCCATATGGTGCCCTGAGCATCACTAGGAGTAATTCCTGAGTGCAGAGCCAGGACTAACCCCTGAGCACAGCTAGATGCAACCCCAAACAAACAAATAACAATAATAATAAATATTGTGTGACCCAAAAAGCAGAAAAATCCATAAATAAAAATAGATTCTGGGATTGGAGGAACCTGAATGCTTTGAAAGTCAAATCTATAATAATAACCAAGAAAGCCTATGATATTTATAACACTTAATTGCCCCCAACATAGTACTCAGCAGTGTCTAAATCACGGCTGTTTATTGTATGCAGTGAGTGTAGGATCCAAGACCAGCACTTTACTTCCAGTGCTTTTTTTTGTTGGTTTACTTATTTTTGGTCCATACCCTGGGTTGCTTGGGGGTTGCTCCTGGCCCTGCACTCAGGAATCACTCCTGGTCGTGCTTGGGAGACCATCTGGGATGTTGGGATGTTGGCTGTGCTTGGGGAACCATTTGGGATGTCGGCCACAGGCAAGGCAGACACCCTCCCCGCTGTTCTATTGCTTCAATTCCCATTTGTTCCCAGTTCTTTGTGCCACATGGAAGCTTAGTGCTCTGTGGCTTAGGTATATCTTGACCCATGGCCAATGCAGGAGTCAAGGATATTGATGGCCCTTCCATTCCATAGCCGGGGAGCTGTGTATATAAGTTTTGACTCCCCAAAACTTAGCTATTAAGGTGTGCTTGTTACAGAAAGCTTACATAAAGTTAACACTTTGTGTTACGTGCAATACTTTGTGTATTACATGTATTGTTGGCTGTATTCTTTCAATGAAGGCAGCTTGGAAAAGAAAAAGATCAGGGGCAGTGGGGAAGGTGCTTGCCTTGCACACAGCTGACCTGGGATCCCTGGTACCCTGTGTTGGCCCCTGAACTACACCAGGAGTGATCCCTGAGCACTGCCGGGTATGTCACCCCCCCCCCCCAAAAAAAAGGGAAGTTATTAATTTTATTAATAGTGCATTTGCCCATCCCAATTTGTAAGTTTACATCGGGAAACATCTTAACATCTTGGAAACAGATGAATCATCTGTCAGTACCTATATCAAGTGTTGATATTATATGTACCTTTTTTTTTTTTTGCTTTTTTGGTCACACGGGTTACTCCTGGCTCTGCACTCAGGAATCACTCCTGGCAGTGCTCAGGGGGATCATATGGGATGCTGGGAATTGAACCCAGGTTGGCCGCATACAAGGCAAACACCCCACCCGCTATGCTATTGCTCCAGCCATTAATTCTTTTTTCTTTTTTTCTTTTTGGGTCACACCCGGCGATGCACAGGGGTTACACCTGGCGATGCACTCAGGAATTACCCCTGGCGGTGCTCAGGGGACCATATGGGATGCTGGGAATCAAACCCAGGTCAGCCTCGTGCAAGGCAAATGCCCTACCCGCTGTGCTATTGCTCCAGCCCCTCCAGCCATTAATTCTTTTTTTTTTAATTAGTGAAACACCATGAGGTACAGTTGTAGACTTACAAATTTTTGTGTTTTGTATAACTTACAAAGTTATACAATGATCCCTCCACCAGTGCCCATTCTCCACCCCCACCAATCCCAGTATCCCTCCCACCCCCCCTTCCCCCATCCCACCCTGCCTCTGTGGCAAGGCACTCCCTTTTGTTATCTCTCCCCTTTTGGGTGTCGTCCAGCCATTAATTCTTAATAAATAAACCCACCTAAGTTTCAGGGGCAACTTTGTGTGAATAAACTGTCATGACATTTCTCATTTGGATGGACTTTGCAAGGCTCCTAGAGATGCAGTTCCATAACTAACCACTGGAGGGAGCCGTTGGCACGGCCAAGACACCTGCAGCACCTCTTTTTTCTCTCTCTCTCTCTCTTTTCTTCCTTTTTTAAAAGACCAGCTCTGCAGCTTCTTTCATGGCCTATTTTAATGATCTCTTTCTCTGAAATCTGGCCTTAGAATTCATGATCCGTATGACTGTAGTAAGAGCAATGAAGCCTTGAAGATAGTGGACTTTTCCTACAGCGTCGACCTCAGGACACAGCCAGACGTTTTCGCTCTCAGCGGCTTTCGGACTGTACAGCTCCTGGAAGGACAAAAGATCCTGGCTAACTGTTCCTCTCCCTACCAGGTAAGCCCGAGGCGGGCCTGAGCGCACACGCGGAGGGCTCCTGAACCTCTCCCGACTCTAATCGGGGGCGGGAGCTAGTATTTACTCAGAGTGTCTCTCTCAGAATAGATGACCTAGTTTTCAGATTTCACCAAGTCGAGAAAAATGTGCCATTCTTCGGTCACTACACTGAAGCGGACGCACGTGCGGGCTGTTGGCTGACTCAGTCACTGTGTCAGGGCCATTTCTGTCACCCAGCTACGTGGTCTTTTAGCTGCCGTTTTCTGTGCTCTCCGTGAAATCAGGAAAGCCGTGGGCTTGTGTAAGTCATAATTGTGAGGACCACATGAAACAATTGAAACAATGATACAGAAAGAGCATGAGGGACAAAGGGAGTGTTGTATATGGTGGCGTTCTGTGCAAGAATTTCTTCCGGCTCAGTGTTGGACATCTGGTATTTGCTGCAGAACCCAACTAGTTGTGGAGAGTGCATTTAGATCACAGCTGGAGTCCATGCAAATTCAGTAGGTCTACAGATTCCAATTTGACAGCACAGATAATTTTGTCGTCTTTTGTTCTTAAGGCTGATTCTTAGTTGGTGCTGTTAATCAGTTTGGGAGGGGGTTCTCCCTTTAATGTAAGACTAAGGAATGATCTGCCGATATATATGTCATAAGATAAACTGGCTTGGGAGTGGAACGGTAGAACAGGGAGTAGGGCACTTGCCTTGCTTGTAGCCAACTGGGATTCAATCCCCAGTTCTACATATGATCCCCTGAGTACTGCCAGGAGTGTTCCCTGAGCACAGAACAAGGTATAAGCCCTAAGCATAACTGGGTGTGCCGCCCACCACCCTTCCCCCCCGCAAAAAAAAGATAAACCTGCTTATTATAGTTCCTTCAATTTCCTATGCAAATAAACTGCCACTATAGTAGCCGAGAATTATTTTAGCTGATGGTGCTTTTTGTGATTTCAGGTAGATCTGTTTGGCATAGCAGATTTAGCACATTTACTATTGTTCAAGGAACATCTACAGGTCACCTGGGATGGGTCCCTCTGGAAACTTAGCCAAAATATTTCTGAGTAAGTATTGGTGATTTCAGGGTGTTTTGTCTAGCCAAATTGTCTTCTCTTCTTGGATGCTCTTTCCGCTTTGGCAGCCTTAGTTTCTGCTAATGACATGGTTCCATTAATTCCAACCCCTTTTTGTCAGAATGTCAGGGTGTACCTAGTGCAGAACAAAGAAATTGCTGGTTAAAAATAAGAATCAAACGACTTAGATTATCAAGTTATATTTCTGAGTCTAGATTGTATCCTACAGACCAAATGGATGGAAGCGTCTCAGTTTAGAAGTGTTAATATAGGGGACTAGAGAGAGAGTACAGCGGGTAGGCCACTTGCCCTGCACACAGCCAACCCAGACGCACTCCCTGGCATCCCATGTGATCCCCAGAGCACTGCCAGGAGTAATTTCTGGGTGCAGAACCAGAAGTAACCCTTGATCATCAACAAGGTGCCCCCACCACCACCACCAAAAAAATTAAATCAATAGAAGTGTTAATAGAAACATTGTGTGCGAATAATTTTCTAACGAATTGGTATTAGTCTTTCAGTCATTTTTAATAGTTATTGTTATTAAAAGTTACTGAGGGGGCTGGAGCAAGAGCACAGCAGGAAAGGGTTTGCCTTGCATGCGGCCGACCCCAGTTCAGTTCCCAACATCCCATATGGTCCCCTGAGCACCTCCAGGAGTAATTCGGAGTAACCAACCCCTGTGCATCGCCGGGTGTGACCCAAAAAGCTTAAAAAAAATACTGAACATCTTTGAAAAATTATATTTCTGAATTGTACGCTATTTTTGTGCCATTTACTTATTGAATGAGTAGAACCAGAGCAGAGAACTGAATCTTCTTAGTGAAGAAGGAAAAGCTCTCAGGGCCCGAGAGATTGTACAGCGGGTCAGATGCTTGCCTTGAGGCCAATCTTGGTTTGATTCCCCACACCCCAATATGGTTCCCCAGGCCTCACCAGGAGTGATCCCTGAGCACAGAGCCAGGAGTAAGCCCTGAGCACTACTGGGTGTGGTCCCCAAAACAAAAGAAGTAATTGTTCTCTTAGCGAAGCACTGCTTGATCTCAGGTCCTTGGGATTCCATCAAGCCTGTTCCTCAAACATACTAACTATCCCATCTTCTGATTTAGCTTTGTATGCTAATAATGTCCCAGGATAAGCTTACTGTCACTCACTGAGATTGTTGTTTGTGTTGGGGCCAGACGTGGTGGTATTTGGGGCTTATTCCTGGCTCAGGGGACCATATGGGGTGCCAGGTCCTGGGTCAGTCATGTGCAAGGCTAGCACCCCACCTGCTGTATTATCTCTTTGGCCCTTTACTGGTACGGTTTTAAAACAATCATTGTCAGAGATTTTTGGGGGGGTTGGGTGTTTGTTTTGTTTTGGGACCACACCCGACTTTGTGTGGGGCTTACTCTTGGGGCTCTGCACTCAGGGATCTGCACTCCCACACTCCTGGCAGGCTCTGGGATCATATGAGATGCCGAGGATGGAACCCAAGGCAGTTCAGCTGCATGCACGGCAAGCCAACTTACCTGCTGTATTATCTCTCAGCCCATCATTATCAGAAATTTAATACTCCTCCTCCCAACATTTAAATTGTAGAAGGTTTTGGTTTGTTTGAATTCAGAATTTAGTCAACCTTATCTCTAAGAAGCACTTTAACAATCGAGTTAAGGGGCTGGAGCAATAGCACAGCGGATAGGGAGTTTGCCTTGCACACAGCCAACTCGGGTTCAATTCCCAGCATCCTATATGGTCCCCTGAGCACCACCAGGAGTAATTCCTGAGTGCATGAGTCATGAGTAACCCCTGTGCATCGCCATGTGTGACCCAAAAAGCAAAAAGTGGGCCAGAGAGATAGTTCAGGGTTTTAGGCATTTTTCTTGCACCCAGCAGACTCCACTTCGATCCCTAACCCTGCATGTGGACCCCCTCCAAACCAGCACAGAACCAGGAGGGAGCCCTGAGCACTGCTGGGTATGGACCACAAACAAAAAAATAGAAAATGAAACTAGGCTTGAGATCAGTGTGAAACACATGGGGTAGTTTCCAGTCTCTCTGCTGGTTAGGGTCCTAGGTGGGTCTGATGCCAACAGAAACGGGGCGGGGTGGGGGGTTTGCTGTGTGGGTTCTAACAACCCCACCATAGACAATAGAAAAAGAACAACACCGAACTGAGGCCCGAGCCTCAGAGATTTAAGCAGTAGTTATTCAGTCAAGCTTGAAGTTTTCGGTGACTTCTGAAGATTGTAAGTCACTGGATGCACCAGGAGGGAACCATATTATTTCTGTTGACCTAGTCTTTAGGAGAGAGAAGAGGAGACAGCGCATATGCCACCTGAGCCTTTCTGCTGCCCTCATGCTTTGCTGCCAAGCGCTTGAGGTCCCCGTCGCCCACTTCGCCCCTCTTGATGTGGAGTTCCGTGCCTTCATACTTGAAACACTGGAATGTGTACTAGGGCTCTCTCCATTCTGCAGATGCCTGCATTCTCTTAGGAGCTCGATCTGCCTCTCCCCTCGCCTCTTCTCTCTCTTCCTCTCCCCTCCCCTCCTGTCTCCTCTCCTCTCCTTTTCCATCCCCTCCCCGTCTCCTCCCCTCTCCTTCCTCCTCTTCTCCCTTCCCCTCCCCTCCCCTCCCCTCCCCAAAACTCCCAGACAAAATCTGTTAAACTTCACTAAAAATAAAAATGGGGCCAGAGCAATCATACAGCAGAGAGAGCATTTGCCTTGCACATGGCTGACCCTAGTTCAATCCGCAGTATCCCAGTATCCCACATGGTTCCCCCCACCCCCTGCCGCAGCACTGCCTGGAGTAATTCCTGAGTGCAGAGCCAGGAGTAAGCCCTGAGCACAGCCAAGTGTAAGGTAAAGGTAAAGGCCCTCCCGTTGATCGTCGATTTGCTCGAGTGGGCCCAGAGAGAAAAGAAAACAAAAGTTAGCTCTTATCTATTTGTAGGGGGAAAAATGTACTGCATCTTGGAACAAAGAAGAAGGTTGCCAATTTAGATGACACCTTCCTCTTGCATGCATTTTGTTCAGGCTTTTCCAACTGTAGAAGTCTTTCTTTTTTCCTTTTCCTTTCTTCACCCTGGGCTTTCAAAGGTTTCGCTCAAGTGATCTCAAACCTTAGAGGTCATGGCCTTACTTTCAGTCATCTCAATTGCATATACGTGCCACTAAGCAGAATACAGACATGACCCTAATTTTGGCGTGCCTTAAACTTGATGGAACCGGTTTTGTGTGTTTTTAGGCTGAAAGATGGTGACTTGTGGAATAAATTCTTTGTGCGGATTCTGAATGCCAGTGAGGAGCCCACAGTGTCTGTTCTGAGGGAACTCGCAGCGGGCCTGAGCGGGCTGTTCGATGCCACCTTCCAGAGTCACCTGAACAAAGCCTTATGGAAGGTGGGGAAGTTTGTCAGTCCTGAGGTTTTGCTGTCCCAGCAAGACAGACAAGCAGACCTCCCTCAGGTTCCTAAGACCAGTGGCTGAAGTTTGGGAATAACAGACCGGTCTACGCTGTCGTTTCTTGTAGATAGATTTAGACGCGCTACCAACACCTACCCGCCTACCCCCACCCCTACTCTTCGTAAAGGTTTGTTTATAGACCCCTGGCATCCTGACATAGCACGGACCCTGTTCTTGGCTGTATCTAACCTTGACAACTCCGTTTTCTAGCCGGGCTCCATGTGGATGGCACCTTGTTTTGTTTTTTTTTTTGTTTTGTTTTTGTGCATTTGTCTCCTCCCTTTTGTAACTTGTGACCTGTTCCTTCATGCTCGCTTTGTATTTTGTAAATAATAAAAAAGGAGTATTTGTTCATTTTTTTGCTTCTAACATCTTGTCTGCTTTTTTAAGGTAACGGATGACTTGATTTTTGTAGACAGAAGCTGCTTTACCATAGAAATGAATGTATGTGAGACTGGGCACTGTTGGGATTAGAGTAAGACAGGGAAGCCAATGGTTCCTTATCGCTTCACGCAGGGGTCTACATTGAAAAGCAGATGAAATGACGTACAAATTTTCTTAAGCAATTTTTCCACTTGAAATGTTGGTCAATTTTCACTGAGCCGTTGGTCTGTGTAATCTAGTGATGCTGCCGCTCCAGGGTTTCTGGCTGTCAGAAAGGAAAAGAAAGCTTTTGAATGGGGTTCATCAGCCTCCCTGGTCATTCTGTTACATGTAGAATGTCTTAGGGAGACAGAAGAGTATCGAAGAAATAGAAGAGAAGGAGCTGACTTGGCTGGAGAGAGAGCACAGCAGCCTAGTGGAGCTTAGTTACAGCCTTGCATGTGGTTGGCCCATTCTGTCCCCAGCATCCCATAGAGTCCTCTGAGCACCACCAGGAGTGATCCCTGAGTATAGAGCCAAGAGTAAGCCCTAAGGACTGCCAGGTGTGGCCCAGAAACCAGAGAGAGATAAGAAACTGAGTTCAGTAGTACAGAGGTTAAGATGTTGACCCGGATTTCATCCACTGGGATTTAAGGGAGCTAACTTGTAGACAGTCCCCCAACCCCCCAAACCTTCCAGGAGTGATCCCTGAACACCACTGTGTGTGACCCAAGATAGAAAACAAAATTAAAAAGGAAGATGGGATTTTATTATAGGGAATATTCGAAGAGGCAGGTCAGAATGAAAAATGTAACTTTGGAGCCAAGGAGATAGTAATAGTGTGTGAATGGGCACTTGCATGTGACCAAACCTAATTTGAATACCCAGCACCGCAGATGGCCCCCTGAGCACCGCCAGAGTGACCCCTGAGCACAGAGCCAGGAGTCAGCCATGAGCACCAGGTGTGGCCCAAACCACAAGCCCCCACAAAAAAAAAAAAACAACAACAACTTTGAAACAGAAAATAACTGGGGAGAAGATCTGGGAGACAGGACTGGAACGATAGCACAGCGGGTAGAGCATTTGCCTTGCACGCAGCTGACCCAGGTTCGATTCCCAGCATCCCATGTGGTCCCCTGAACACTGCCAGGAGTAATTCCTGAGTACAAAGCCAGGAGTAACCCCTGAGCATCACCGGGTGTAACGCAAAAAGGGGAAAAAAAAAAAAGATCTGGGAGACATATTAGGCCGACAAATGGGAGCATGAATTACACCTGGCCTTAGAAATAGTTTTCCACAAATTTTCTTCCCTATATTTTTCATATCTAAATATCAAAATTATTGGTGTCTAATTTTTAATTCTAGTTGTCACTGTTACTGCTATAAGATTATTAGAAAGCAGAAAATGCTAAGTGTATTCCAACTAAAAATAAAATATTTAAGCGTATATAGTTGAAGCACTGAACATGACTAAGAACTGAAAGATAATCAACCTGGGAATTTTTCTTTTTTTTTTTTTCCCCCACACACGGTGATGCACAGGGGTTACTCCTGGCTCATGTACTCTGGAATTATCCCAGCAGTCCTCGGGGGACCATATGGGATGCTGGGAATCGAACCCGGGTTGGCCATGTGCAAGGCAAACACCCTACCCACTGTGCTATCGTTCCAGCCCCTGGAATTTTTCTTCTTAACCCAAATGCGAGTTTTCAAACACAGTGTCTGCGGTCAGGGATGTAGTTCTGTGGTAGAGAGCACGGTGCATGTGTGGCATGTTGAGTTTGATCTGCAGCACAGCAAGAAAAGAAAAACAAAACATAGAGAATACCAATGTTGTGTTTGCTTTTTATAAAACTGATGATATAAACTTGTATATTTGGGGCCAGAGAGATATGCAGGGTGAAGGCAGCTAACCTTACATGCAGCTAACCCAAGTTCCATCCCGGGTACCACACGTGGTCCCCAAGCACCAACTGGAGTGATTCCTGAGCACAGCCAGGAGTAAGACCTGAGCCTTCCCCCACATGTGTGTCCCTTTCCTATAAAAAATAAATAAAACATAAAATAACCATGAAAAAAAATTTTTTTGTATGTTAGAGATTCCTTCTAATTCTTTGCTCTCCTCAGTTCTTTGTTTTGGTGTATAAAGTTATTGTTCTGATACTAGACGGGAAACGGAAGATTCTCTCTTTACCTCGACTTACCTACTACCTAATGATTTTGTTTGTTGGTTTCGGGGGCCACTCTGAAACCAAAAAATGGAAATGCCTCTGTGCTCAGGACTTACTCCTGGCTCAGTGCCCAAGGATCACTCCTGGAGGGCTCGGGGAACCATGTAAGTTGCTCGCAAGCACCCTGCCCGCTGTTCTGTCACTCACACCTGGCTTCCAGACGCTTAGCTAGTTCCAAAGGGATAGTAAAGCTGACCCTGGAAGGCTGTAATCCTGAAACTACGACAGAGGGGAACTCAGACCCTCCTGCTGACCTCGTGGGTCCCTAAGTATGAGCGCTGGAGGCCAGTCTTCCTGTTTGGCGGGAGCCCTCTGTGACAGCAGAAACCAACCAAGTTGGTGTTGGAGAGGAAGTCTACACATTTTCAGCTTATGTTTGGGGAACTGGGGTGCAGGGGAGGAATGTGGGCCTGCGGGATAAAGCTCAATGGCCTGGAGCACTTGCTTTGCATGGGCGACCTTCAGCTTCAGTTCCCAACACTGCTGGTCCCCTGAGCACCTCTGGGTGTGCCCTCCACCCAAAAAAAAAAATTCAGAAGCTGAGAGAATAAAATAGTTGCCTTTGGGGAGAACACAGTGACAAAGGAAAGAAATGAGACTTACTTTCTACTTTCTAAACATGAGATTTTGGGGTATGATTGCATTTTTTAAATATTTGTGGGATCATCTATACTAAGAAATTAGGGGACGCGGTTTTGTCATCTTTTCCTTTTCCATAGCATTAAAGCCTAAAAAACACCTGGTATTGGTTTCTTTTTTATCTTTTAAAGAGGAATTTGTAGAGTTTTCTCATTAATATATAAAAGTAAGACTAGGGTCAAAGCAATAATACAGTGAGTAGAGTGTTTACCTTGCACGCGGCCGACCAGGTTCAGCCCCCAGCATCCCATATGGTCCCCCAATCTCCATCAGGAGCGATCCTTGAGCACAGGAGGATGTGGCCCCAAAACCAAAAAATAATAAACATTTGGTTTTAAGATGAGACTGTGGGGCCCAGGGATGTAGCTCAGTGGTAGACCAAATGCCTCATGTGGGAGGCCCTGAGTTCCATCCCCACCACAAAAAAATAAGTGGGAGAGTGAAAATAAGTTTGAATCTTTGGCTTTTGTTTTTGTCTTGATTTTTTTTTCCTTTTTGATTTTTGGACCACACCCAATTATGCTCAGGGGTTACTCTTGACTCTGCATTCCAGAATTATTCCTGGCAGTGCTCAGGGGACCATGTGGGATACTGAGGTCAAACCTGGGTCAATCACAAGCAGGGCAAGCACCCTACCCATTGTACTTCTGCTCCATCCCCAAGACAGTTTTAAATCTTTGAAGACAATATATCTACATTTCTATTTTTAGTGCATTAAAAAAAATCAAATGTTTTGTATTCTGTTGGAAATGTGCTTTCTAAAATTACCAGCTTCCCACTGTTACAACATACTATTTCTGTGAACAAGAGATTGAATTACATTAAGCACAACTTCTTAACATTTTATGGCTTCCATATGAAAACCTGAGTTTCCGGAAAGTGGCATTGTATGGTTCAGAAAGGAGCAAACAGGCTGGAGAGACAGTACAGAGAGCAGGGCGATGCTTTGCCTTGGGCCAACCCATGTTCCATCCCTCACATATGGCTCCCTGATCCCCGTGAGGGGTGATGCTTGCGTGCAGAGCCAGGAGTAAGCCCTGAGCACTGTCAGTGGCCCAAAAGCAAACAAAGGTACAAACAGTGATAAACTTATGCTAAACCTCCACAACTTATATATATATATAAGCTATATATGTTGTATATTTTCTTTTATTGTTGTGGTTATTTTGCCCATCAAAACAAGCTGCTTCCCCTAACTCCTCGCGGGCTATATGGCTGAGTTGTTCCACCGAGCTCAGTTGTTCCTTATGCTCAGCTGGACTATCCATGGGAAGAGTGGTACTTGCCTAATCTAACCAGTAGCTTTTAGAGCACTTGTGAGCAAATGACTCTGTCTCTTACTTGGGGGGAGGGGGGGTTGGGGCGGGGGTTTATGTCAGTTTGGGGCCATACCCAGCAGTGCTATGGAGTTACTCCTGGCAATGTTCCAGGGACCCTCTGGTGCTGAGGATCAAACGGGTGGTTGAATGGATGCACAGCAAGTATCTTTCCCCTTGTTCTGTCCCTTCAGCCCCATATGTCTTATTTTCATATACTTCTAGAAAGTAGCACATTGTCCTCAAAAATAAGGAGTGAGGAGTGAAAGGCAGGGGCCGCAGTGATAGTACAGCGGCAGGGCACTTGCCTTGCATGCAGCCAACTTGGTTTTGATCCTTGAAACCCTGCATGGTCCCCTGAGCCCTGCCAGGAGTGATCCAAGGTGATCTGCACAGAACCAGGAATGAGCCCTGAGCACAACTCTGGCTGTGGCTCACCCCCAACTCCCCAAAAATAGTAAATTTAAATGTTGGCAAAAGACAGCCACAAGTTCTAACACTGGTTGTCTTGGAACCTGAGTATGGAAAAATAAAATTTCTAAT